CAAACCGATTGGTTACTAGGGGTCATGGTTGCCAGGGGCCTTATTACATCGTGGGGTCAGCCAATCACATGCAGTCATCTTGGGTTCCAGGTCTCTAAATTCCTGCATCCCCCTCTCAGTCTCCTTCAAGCATTCACAGAAAGAGCAGCAAGCTCATCTCTGTCCTTCACAACAACAGCTGGACTCACTCATATCTCTTTGGACATGTGCTATTGTGTGCGTGCACGAAGTGAGTTGTGGGACATGTTCATATTGTTCTTAATAGTTAGATATTGTTGCATTATGTATGCTGCCTCTGTACAGCTTGTAACCTGTAAACATGTTCAGGGATTATATGTCATTTATACATTCCTGTATTACTGTTATTACAGCTCTTGTGATATTGTATGTGCAATATATTCATTGCCTTTAATTTCCTTCTACAGAAACACTACCTTTCCCACTTTCCATCCCCATGTACATCTCCAGGTCAGAGACCAGTAAACACGTAAAGCTGAGTTGCTCTTTTTTAGCAAATGTTGAATGTCCTCGTCAAAATTCTATTTGTTTTCTTTCAAAGATGTAGGGTACACTTGTATCAAATAAGACACAGGGGGTTGTGTGTGGCTGTCCATGTGGGTGTTTGAGTGAGAAAGACACAGAGGAAAACATAAAAAAAAAGCACAACCCCCTTCATTATCGATGCATCGTGACGACAACATCAAAACAGCCTCCAGACTCTGAAGTCAGGAGGTTTTCTAGTTAGGTGTCAAAAGGAGGTAGTCTAGCATGAGCCTTGGCTTTTGCGAGCCGGAACGGCTCATAGGAGCAGCAGCCTATATCCTGTTTCTGTAGCGTGAGGCAGCTTGATGTACAAGTACACCTCCTGGAGATGACTCTAGTCTATCACAGGGCCTTATCCCCAATCTATCTCCATAATGCTGAGTACATAATGCTGATGTTGATTGGCGCTGGAGGGAATAGCGGCCATTATACGGGCTCTTAACCGATTGTGCTATTTTGTGTCTTTTTTGGCGCTGATCTTAACTTGTTTTGTACATGATGTTTCCGCCATGATTTCCTATGATCAAAAGAGCTTCTGGACATCAGAACAGATATCAATAACCTCAGTTTGGATGAGGACTACTTCAATGAGTCTGAGGCGAAACCATATTGATTAATCAGGACCTATAGAGGCTGGCGTGCGGGATGCCTGGCCGGATTACATCATAGAGTGTAAGCTGCCTCTACCCTCCGTTCTAGTGGCGAACGTGCAATCACTGGAGAATAAATTGGATGAGCTACGTTTGAGACTAGCCTATCAACGTGACACCCCTAGTTAGAGGGGAATAAGGCAGTCCAAGAGTTGACACACAAAGTAACTTTATTTAAACACACTGGAGATGATGAATATGGGGATGTATATGGGAATATACATGGGGATGAAAAGTGGGAAAGGTGGTGGAATGGAAGTGGTTCTGAAACAGGAGAAACAGAGGTGAAGTATTCACTGTACACAATACTATATAATAGCACAAGTAGAGCAACAAGGCTATTAACAAGGGAAGGACTGTATGAAAATGTATATGCTACCTACACATTTCAGTACAGCTATACACAAAGGCAGCATAAAACAATAGTAACAACTAACTATGAAGAACAATTTACAAATATCACATAACTCACTTTGTGCATGCACACCATCCCACAAGCCCAGAAATATGTTATTAAGTCCAGTTGTTGATGGGCAGAGACAGAGATGTTGCTCTCTGCCGCTGCTTGAGGGAGACTGCAAGTATTGTGTGACCTGTATAGTCAAGAGGATGGGCAGATGTCCGATTCCCTAGTAACCTCCCTAACAACCTATCAGGGCACAGGTCACAAAAGTCAGAGATAGTTTGAGAGGCAGGTTTATGGTACCACCTAGAATCTCAGGCTAAGGCCGTGGGGGAAGGGGAGTGGAGTGTGCAGCTCAGGTTTGTGAGCTGCTGATAACAGTCAACAGCATGGGAATTCGTAACAGGTGGAGTTGGGGAAGCTCAGGGGAGGGGCTGTGTGTCTCTTTGTTAACCACAGCTGGTGTGGGATCTCTAATATTAAGGAAGTATCGAGGTTTTCCTCGCCTGAGTTAGAATACCCCATGACGAGCAGTAGATTATACTATATACCAGTAGAATTTTCATCTATATTTTTAGTAGCTGTCTATTTAGCACCACAAACCGATGCTAGCACTAAGAGCGCATTCAACAAGCTGTATAGGGCCATGAGCAAACATGAGGCGGAACTCCTAACGGCAGGAGACTTTAATGCAGGAAAACTGAAATCCGTTTTACCTCATTTCTGTCAGCATGTCACCTGTGCAACTAGACGCTAAAACCCTATAGATCACCTTTACCCTATAGATCAACCCTATAGATCACCTTTACGCATACAAATATCTCCCTCGCACGCCATTTGGCAAATATGACCATAACTGTATCCTCCTGATTCCTGTTACAAGAAAAAACTGAAACACGAAGTACCAGTGACACGCTCAATATGGAAGTGGTACGATGAAGCAGATGCTAAGCTACGTGACTGTTTTGCTAGCACATACTGGAATATGTTTACAACATCAGTCACAGGCTTCATTAATAAGTGCATCGACGATGTCGTCCCCACATTGACCGTTCGTACGTAAATATCCCAACCAGAAGCCATAGATTACAGACAACATCTACAAAGAGCTAAAGGTTAAAGCTGCCGCTTTCAAGGAGAGGGACATTAATCCGGATATAAGAAATCCTGCTACGCCTTTCGACTAATCATCAAACAGGCAAAGCGTCAATACAGGACCAAGATCGAATCCTACTACACCAGTTCTTACTCTCATAGGATGTGGCAGGACTTGTAAACTTTCACGGATTACAAAGGGAAACCCAGCTGCCGAGCTGTCCAGTGATGCAAGCCTACCAGACGAGCTAAATATCTTCTATGCTCACTTCGAGGCAAGCAATCTATCTTTTCAGACTGTTAGAGTGTTTATCTGGTCAATATGTCAGTGTATTATTTTTGTTGTTTGTAACAGTGTTATATGTGAAAATGTGATTGTATTATAAATTGTATTTTAACGTTTAAGCACTCTTGAATGATTAGTCCAAATGAGGACTAAAAGAGATCCTAATAACATAAAATCAAAATCAAATCAACACTGAACCATGCATGACAGCATCAGCTGTTCTGGACAAATGTGTGATCATGCTATTGGTAGCCAATGTGAGTAAGTCCTTTAAAAAGGATAACATTCAAAAGGCTGCACGTCCAGACAGATTACCAGAGCATAAACTGACCAGCTGGCAAGTGTCTTCACTGACAATTTCAACCTCTCCCTGACCCAGTCTGTAATAGCTACATGTTTCAAGCAGACCACCATAGTCCCTGTGCCCAAGAAAGGCAAGGTAACCTGTCTAAATGACTATCGCCCCTTAGTACTCACATCTGTGGCCATGAACTGCTTCGAAAGGCTGGTCATGGCTCACATCAACAGCATCATCCCAGACACCCCGGACCCACTCCAATTCGCATTCCGCCCCAAGAGATCCACAGATGACGCAATCTCGATTGCACTCCACACTGCCTTTTTCCATCTGGACAAAAGGAACAGCTATGTGAGACTGCTGTTCATTGACTACAGCTCAGCGTTCAACACCATAGCACCATCCAAGCTCATCACTAAGCTAAATAATCTGGGATTAAACACCTCCCTCTGCAACTGGATCCTGGACTTCCTGACGGGCTGCCCCCAGGTGGTGAGGGTAGGCAACAACTTATATGCTCGCGTCGAGGCAAGTAACACTAAATCATGCATGAGTGCACCAGCTGTTCCGGATGACTATTTAATCATGCTCGCCGTAGCCGATTTGAGGAAGTCCTTTAAGCAGGTTAACATTCAACAGGCCGCAGGTCCAGACGGATTACCACGACGCGTACTCAGAGCATGCGCTGACCAGTTGGCAAGTGTCTTCACAGACATTTTCAACCTCTCCCTGACCCAGGCTGTAATACCTACATGTTTCAAGCAGACCACCATAGTCCCTGTGACCAACAACGCCAAGGTAACCTGTCTAAATAACTATCGCCCCGTAGCACTCACGTCTGTAGCCATGAAATGCTTTTAAAGTCTGGTCATGGCTCACATCAACACCATCATCCCAAACACCCTAGACCCACTCCAATTTGCATTCCGCCCCAACAGATACACAGATGACGCAATCTCTATTGCACTCCACACTGCCCTTTCCCATCTGCTTAAAAGGAACACCTACGTGAGACTGCTGTTCATTGACTACAGTTCAGCGTTCAACACCAAAGTGCATCCAAACTCATCACTAAGGTATGGATCCTGGGATTAAATACCTCCCTCTGCAACTCGATCCTGGACTTTCTGACGGGTTGCCCACAGGTGGTGAGGGTAGGCAACAACACATCCGCCACGCTGACCCTCAACACCGGGCCCCTCAGGGGTGCATGCTTATTCCCCTCCTGTACTCCCTGTTCACCCATGCCTGCGTGGCTGCGCACGACCAACACCATCATTCAATTTGCAGACTAAACGACTGTTGTAGACCTGATCACCGACGACAATGAGACAGCCTACAGTGTGTGCCAGGACAACAACCTCTCACTCAACGTCAGCAAGACCAAGGAGCTGACCGTGGACTAGAGGAAACGGAGTGCACGAAGGATTGATGTTACAATAATGATCAGACATATTTGGTTTTATGCCAACTCTGGTAATCTACATATTATTGGCTTTTAGAATCCATTTGAATTACTTTGTAACAAGTATTTGAGATGTTTTTCAATCTTTATCTTGATCTTTGATCCATATTGTTTGTTTGCGTTGACAGTTTGTACATTAACCAAGGACATTGTTCAACCAGACCCAGTGATGGTTACTTAATATCACTTGCTTTTGGCCAAGTGACGTGATTAGCAATGTCACTTGGTTCAATTAGATTATTGGACAGAAACCCCTTCTTATGGCATCGCCATTTTACAGTGGCCAAGATAGTTTTTACTTCAACAACTTTACCAAGGACTTCACTGAGACTAAACATCTGAGTGTGAAGAGAGGAGTTGACAGCTGTAACCTGACCATCTCCAAGACAGAGTCAGGGGACTCAGCTACATACTACTGTGGTGGTATGGAAATGGGTGAAGTCAAATTTGGAGAAGGAACTTTTTTGATTGTCAAAGGTAACTTAACTTCCTTCCGTAATATTGGATTTTCATTTTGCACCATCAAATAAAATTTGGCGATAAATGAATATACCAGGTCAATACAATTTACACACAATTATCTTACTCCGTCACTCCCTTCAGGTTCAGAGTCCAAAAGCATGTCTGTGCTACAGCTGCCTGTGTCTGAGTCAGTCCAGCCAGGAGACTCTGTTACTCTGAACTGTCTATTAGTTCAGACATGGCTCAGGAGTATCGCATCCAGGAAGCATTTACACACATGGGGACAGTGTCTGCAACCTCCCGAAGAGGAACCTCAGCCTCTCTGATGCTGGGACTTACTACTGTGCTGTGGCCTCATGTGGGGAGATACTGTTTGGGAATGGGACCAAGCTGGACATTGACCGTAAGTAAGTAATATATCTGACATTTCTGATATTGTCTGACAGTGCTGTGAATTGGTTTAGCAAACTGCTGTCTGTATTTCCACAGAAGGTGGCAAGGAAGAACATCTTATGTTGGTGTACTGCCTGGGTCTCTATTTCATCTGGATAACTGTCCTTGTGTCCATCATGTACAAGATGAGCAGGAGATAATGTGGACAGTGCAGAGGTAAATGGTATCAATAGTATGGTGCAAAATATACTATAACATTTTTTGGTGCATCTGTAAGTAACATTTTTTAAAACATGTTTTTGGTCTTCATTTTATGATGATGATGATGTTTCAAGTTCCAAGTTTTAATGTCACATGCACAAGTACAGTTGTCACGCCCTGGCTCTGGGACTCTTATATGTTGAGCCAGGGTGTGTAGATTCTATGTGTTTGTGTTCTGTGTGTAGGATCTAGTTTATGTGTATCTATGTTGGCCGGGGTGGTTCTCAATCAGAGGCAACGAGAAACAGCTGTTGCTTGTTGTCTCTGATTGGGAACCATACTTAGGCAGCCGTTTGGCAGTAGTGTATTGTGGGATCTTGTTCCGTGTTGGTTAGTTTGTTAAACCGAGGACTTCACGTTTCGTTTTGTCGTTTTTGTTCATTGTGTAAGTACTCTAATAAAAGATGTACGCATTCCACGCTGCGCCTTGGCCCGTTTCATCTAATGACGATCGTGACAACAGTGAAATGCCTTTCTTACAAACTCAAAACCCAACAATGCAATAATCAATAACAATGTATTACTAGAAAAAATAACACGAGAAATAATAATAAGAAATACGAAATACACAACAAAGTAAGTAAGTAAGCATACAATACACAGGAAATATTTAAAAAGTCAGTTCAGAGTAGCAGCAGCTTGCATGTGAGTGGGTGTGCTGGTGTGTAGAGTCAGTATAAATGTATGTGCATATTATGTGTGAGTGTGCAAATGATGGAGTGAGTGTTTGTGTTTGTTGGAGAGACAGTGTGTGTGAGTGAGTAGGGCCCTGTGAGTCTGCATAGAGACAATACAAGTGCAAAAACTAAAATAAAAGGTCAATAAAGATACAAGGTTATTCGGCAGGTGTAGCTATTTTGTTAGCTATTTATCAGTCGTATTGCTTGGGGATAGAAGATGTTCAAGAGCCTGTTGGTGTCAGACTTGATGCACCGGTACCTCTTGCCATGCAGCAGCAGAGAAAATAGTCTATGACTAGGGTGGTAGTGGTCTTTTACGATTTTCCGGTCCTTCATTTTACACCACCTGACATAGAGGTCCTGGATGGCAGGGAGCTCGGCCCCAGTAATGTACTGGGCTGTCCACACAACCCTCTGTAGCGCCATGCGATCGAGGTGCTATTGCCATACCAAGCAGTGATGCAGCCAGTCAATATGCTCTCAATTGTACAGCTGTAGAACCTTTTCAGGATTTGAGGGCCCATGCCTGAGAGGGACGAGGCACTGTTGCGCCTTCTTCACGACTGTGCGTGTGTGTTTGGACCATTTTAAGTCTTTAGTGATTTGGACACTGAGGAACTTGATGCTGTCTACCTGCTCCACTGCCACCCCGTCGATGTGGATGGGGGCGTGCTCACCCCCTCGTTTCCTGTAGTCCACGATCAGCTCCTTGGTTTTGCTGACGTTGAGGGAGAGTTCGTTGCTTTGGCACCACACTGTCAGGTCACTGACCTTCTCCCTGTAGGCTGACTCATCGTCGCCGGTGATCAGGTCTACCACCGTTGTGTCGTCAGCGAACTTGATAATGGTGTTGGAGTCATGCGTGGCCACACAGTCGTGGGTAAACAGGGAGTACAGGAGGGGACTAAGCACACACCCCTGTGGGGCCCCTGTGTTAAGGGTCAGCGTGGTAGAGGTGATGTTGCCTACCCTCACCACCTGGGGTCGGCCCGTCAGGAAGTCCAGGATCTAGTTGCAGAGGGAGGTGTTGAGACCCAGTCCTTAGCTTGGTGATGAGCTTGGAGGGGATAATAGTATTGAACGCTGAGCTGTAGTCAATGAACAGCATTCTCACGTAGGTATTCCTCTTATCTAGGTGGTTGAGGGCAGTGTGGAGAGCAATTAAGATTGTGTCATCTATGGATCTGTTGGGGCGGTATGCAAATTGGATTGGGTCTAGGGTGGCTGGAATGGTGGAGTTAATGTGTGCCATAACCAGCCTCTCAAAGCACTTCATGATTACAGAAGTGAGTGCTACAGGGTGGTAGTCATTGTGGCATGAAGCCTTGCAGTTCTTAGGAACAGGGATGATTGTGGTCATCTTAAAAGAAGTGGGGATTACAGACTGGGACAACGAGAAGTTGAAAATTACCGTGAATATGCCTGCCAGCTGTTCTGCGTATGCTCTGAGAACGCGTCCTGGAATACCGTTGGGTATTGACCTGATTAAAGACCCTTCTCACGTTGGCCTCATGAGATCACCACTCTGGGTTGGTGACGGCCCTCACACCCAGCTCGATGTTGTTGTTGTCAAAGAGTGCATAAAATGCACTGAGTTCGTCTGGTAGAGAGGCATCGTTGGGCAGATCACAGTTGGGTCTTCCTTTGTAATACGTAATGGACTGTAGCCCCTGCCACATGCGGCGGGCGTCGGAGCCTGTGTAATAGGATTCCACCTTATTCCTATATTGTCCTTTTGCTTGTTTGATGACACTGCGGGGGCCTTCTTGATGATGTTGATGATGATGTTGTTGATGATCATGATGATGATGATGTTGTTGTTGATGATGATTATGTTGATGATGATGATTCCTTCATGTGTTTGTCTAAAAGGAACGCACACTCAGTCAAGTGTTCCGGGAGTCCCCAGTTCACAAAAATGTTTGATTAACTGTAAACAAATCCTTCTATCAAAATATCAGGTCATTTCCTGATGTCTTTGGAATTTGTTTAGCTATTCCTCTTAGGATCAAGAAGATGATGACACACTCACGTCCGTCCATTACGCTGCTCTGAATGTCATCCACAAGAAGCCAAAGACCCATAGACAGAGGAGCGCCATGGAGAGAGACACTGCATACTCTGGGGTGAGGTGCCAAAACATGGACTGAAACGTAGACTTTTCCTCCGTATAGACTTTCTCTGTGTTTTACGCTTTATGTGTAACTTGAGGCTTTTTCATTGTAAGTGCGGTACAATACAATGGCTTGTATTCTGTCAACCTCCTATTTACATTGATAATGTTGTGTATTTTAGATCAAATCAGGATTAAACTGCTGTTAAATGAGGTATTGTGTGATTTGCATTCATATTTTCCTCTGTCGTTACATTTCTACAACAATTTCACCCACAGATTCAGTGTGCAACAACCATATTCAGCTTATTCTCAATAAAACAAAGCTTTTCTAAAACTCTCTTTTTAAGCTGTATCCTGTGTCAGATCTCTGTGGTGTTCTGACGACCCACAATAGATTTTCCACTCACAAACTCATCTCAAACCCCCAGCAATGACCGTGAGCTCTCACCACACACTGTCCTCACACACCTCAGTGCATCAAAACCACAAACATCCATGTCACTAAGAGCACAACTCACTCTCTTCATAAGAAAAGCCTGAACTAAAAAATAAACTTCATAGCTGAGTATATTACAGTTGATAATGTTCAAAAGAGAATTCAAATATGACAATGGGCACATTGTAACTGAGCAGTTTTAATAAATAATCTACCAACTGTGAATGTATTTTATGTGCACATTGAAGCATTGCAACTGTATTATCTTTCAATAGAGAGCAGTAGGTTACATGGAAGTCCCCATGACTGGCTCAACAGTAGAGTTGCAGCAACTTTTCAAAATGTTCAAAATGTTAACTAATAAATGAATAATCGTTGAAGGGATTTTACTGTGGTAGCTGATGTGCCTAGTCGAAATAACAGTCAACAAATGGCCAACAAAAGCAATGTATATTAGACTCTTTAACAAGGTAATAAACAGTATGTATTACATGCTTACACATCTATTACAGGTTACAAATCCATTTCAGCATCATAGAGTCACATGCATCAAACACCACAGGCAGTCATCCTCACTGGATCATTACTATTAACATCAACAAAGTTATAAATTGCAGCTTAGTTACCAGAAGGAGCAAAACAAACACTGAAAATAAAATGGGTAGCAGAGTGCTCTCTATATGACGAAGACAATGACTCATGTGTTTGTGTTTAGTTTTGTATTGAGTTACAGGGAGTAGTTAATTAAGTATGAGAGACAACCTATTTATTCAAATCATCTCTCCTCTGTAATGTGTTGTCCTCTTCTAGTTGTGTTGATAACATGTCACTCACACCCACCCCCATATAGTGAACAAGTTGACAGGTACTCTGCAGTCTTCTGTAAGCCCAAGACGAGGTCATATCTACGCTTTGGTCAGGAGGGCCTGCTGACTTTGTACACAAGGGACACTCCTACCTGCTCTCTGTGTCTCGGTGTCTCTGTGTCTCTATGTGGTTTTCAGCAGGATGTCTATGTGGTGTCACTGTTATTCTCGCTATCTTTACTTGTTTTTCATGTTGCACCGTACAGCTTACAGCCACAGCAAAACAGTTATTTATTAAACTAACTCTAATATATATTTAGTTATCTGAAATCAGTTACAAACCACAAAGAACTGCTGATTAACCCTATTTGAACTCTCTGAGTTAAATGTGTCATGCGTGATACAGCACCATCTATTATAGATCTATGGGCTCAGTGGGAGGGGCCAGTTTGTGATGATGTCATGGAAGAACTTTCAGTTCATTTTCAATCAGACAATCATTATAAGACTACTGCAGGGTGCTCTGTCAGAAGGAGACCAATAGAGGAGGATTGCTTCCTATGAGAACAACACTAAATCAGCAGTGTAAAGTACTTAAGTAAAAATACTTGAAAGTACTACTTAAGTAGTACTTTACTTTACTATTTATATTTTTGACAACTTTTACTTTTACTTCACTACATTCCTGAAGAAAATTATGTAGTTTTTACTTCATACATTTTCCCTGACACCCAAAAGTACTCGTTACATTTTGAATGCTTTGCAGGACAGGAAAATGGTCTAATTCACACACTTATAAAAATAACATCCCTGGTCATCCCTACTGCCTCTGATCTGGCGGACTCACTAAACACATGCTTCGTTTATAAATTATGTCTGAGTGTTGGAGCGTGCCCCTGGCTATCCGTAAATAAAAAAACAAGAAAATGGTGCCATCTGATTTGCTTAATATAAGGAATATGAAATGATTTATACTTTTACTTTTATATTTTATACTTAAATATATTTTAGCAATTACATTTACTTTTGATACTTAAGTTTATTTAAAACCAAATACTTTTAGACTTTTACTCAAGTAGGATTTTACTGGGTGACTTTCAATTTTACTTGAGTCATTTTCTATTAACGTATCTTTACTTTTACTCAAGTATGACAATTGGGTACTTTTTCCACCACTGCTAATCAGAGAGTGAAACAGACTAGATCAAATGTGTCACATGTATTAGTTAAGCTGGGGTGTCATGTCAGACATGCACTTTCAGGTGTTATACATCAGTTAGTTAATGTTTCTGTAAATTATATACAGATAATGTAAGACTGACTAAAAGTTACTTGTTTCATTCTGTAGGTGTTTCCCCCACACATACTCATGATGCTCCACCCCTGTTCACCCTGATACTGAACATGACAAGACAAGACATGCTCTAGACACAACAGACCTCCTATTGGTCATCTGGAGTATTGTAACTGTCGAATGACATGGTCAAAATAGTATTAGTTTTCTTTCCAATTCTTTAGGTAAACTTGCTTAAGCTTGACCGGCGCAATGGAGGCAAGATAAATCAAGTGCACCTAAAGTAAGTGGGAGAAAATAAATAGTTTACTATTTTAACCCAGGTCTGTCCAGATTGGTGAGAAAACCACAAACCAACAAACAAGTAAAACCATCAAGAGAATTACTTACAAGACCATTCTACAGCATCCTGTGTCAACAACTTAAACAACTGATACCAATTGACATTTTCCTTGTGTTCTGTACATACAGTATGCCTCTATGAATGTTTGTGCAGAGGGCTTCTGCAGAGACTACCTACTGTTACCATGCTAAACCCACCCACTCAACATGCACTCAGTGAGCTGTTCACAGGTATCTGAACACTTTGGTCTGCTGTGAGCTCAAAACGACGCCATCAAAACGCTTTGGATTGGTCTGATACCCTTCTACACACTCTGTGGTTTTCAGCAGGATGTCTACTGTATGTGGTGTCAGTCAGTTGCTCTCATTCTTGTTGTTCATGCCCATGACACAATTAGAAACACAGCCCACTGCCATGCAGACCACACAGCATCTAATTACTTACAAGTCATAGGTTTTATTAATTATTGAACTGTGTTTACAGAGTGTAGAGTAGAAGGTGTATCCAGGCTACAGCCAAGAGCCCTACCCATACAGGTAAAGCCCTGACCCCAACTGAACTATCAGGTGGTACACTTCAGTTAGTAATGGATATTTATGTGAATGATAGGGAGTGAGACTGATATACAATGGACTTGTTTCATTCTGTAGGTATTTCCCCCATATACACACATAGGCTAATCTTAGTCCCAGCCTGTAGGGAGGAGGTCTGAGACCTGGCAGTGTGGTGCCAGGACAACAACCTCTCCCTCAATGTGAACAAGACAAATGAGATTATCAAGGACTACAGGAAAAGGAGGGCCGAACAGGCCCCCATTAACATCGACGGGGCTGTAGTGGAGCGGGTCGAGAGTTTCAAGTTCCTTGGTGTCCACATCACCAACAAACTATCATGGTCCAAACCACACCAAGACAGTTGTGAAGAGGGCACGGCAACACATTTTCCCCCTCAGGAGACTGAAAAGATTTGGCATGGGTCCCCAGATCCTCAAAAGGTTATACAGCTGCACCATCGAGAGCATCCTGACCGGTTGCATCACCACCTGGTATGGCAACTGCTCGGCATCCGGCCGTAAGGCGCTAAAGTGGGTAGTGTGTACGGCCCAATGCATCACTGGGGCCAAGCTTCCTGCCATCCAGGACCTACAGTCAGGGAAAAAAGTATTTGATCCCCTGCTGATTTTGTACGTTTGCCCACTGACAAAGACATGATCAGTCTATAATTTTAATGGTAGGTTTATTTGAACAGTGAGAGACAGAATAACAACAAATAAATCCAGAAAAACGCATGTCAAAAATGTTATAAATTGATTTGCATTTTAATGAGGGAAATAAGTATTTGACCCCTCTGCAAAACATGACTTAGTACTTGGTGGCAAAACCCTTGTTGGCGATCACAGAGGTCAGACGTTTCTTGTAGTTGGCCACCAGGTTTTTACACATCCCAGGAGCAATTTGTCCCACTCCTCTTTGCAGAATTTCTCCAAGTCATTAAGGTTTCGAGCCTGACGTTTGGCAACTCGAACCTTCAGCTCCCTCCACAGATTTTCTATGTGATTAAGGTCTGGAGACTGGCTAGGCCACTCCAGGACCTTAATGTGCTTCTTCTTGAGCCACTCCTTTGTTGCCTTGGTCGTGTGTTTTGGGTCATTGTCATGCTGGAATACCCATCTACAACCCATTTTCAATGCCCTGGCTGAGGGAAGGAGGTTCTCACCCAAGATTTGACGGTACATGGCCTGTCCATCGTCCTTTTGATGCGGTGAAGTTGTCCTGTCCCCTTAGCAGAAAAACACCCCCAAAGCATAATGTTTCCACCTCCATGTTTGACGGTGGGGATGGTGTTCTTGGGGTCATAGGCAGCATTCCTCCTCCTCCAAACACGGCGAGTTGAGTTGATGCCAAAGAGCTCCATTTTGGTTTCATCTGACCACAACACTTTCACCCAGTTCTCCTCTGAATCATTCAGATGTTCATTGGCAAACTTTAGACGGGCCTGTATATGTGCTTTCTTGAGCAGGGGGCCATTACGGGCGCTGCAGGATTTCAGTCATTCACGGCGTAGTGTGTTACTAATTGTTTTCTTTGTGACTATGGTCCCAGCTGCCTAGAGATCATTGACAAGATCCTCCCGTGTAGTTCTTGGCTGATTCCTCACCGTTCTCATGATCATTGCAACTCCACGAGGTGAGATCTTGCATGGAGCCCCAGGCCGAGTGAGATTGACAGTTATTTTGTGTTTCTTCCATTTGCGAATAATCACACCAACTGTTGTCACCTTCTCACCAAGCTGCTTGGCGATGGTCTTGTAGGTCTACAATTTTGTCCCTGACATCCTTGGAGAGCTCTTTGGTCTTGGCCATGGTGGAGAGTTTGGAATCTGATTGATTGATTGCTTCTGTGGACAGGTGTCTTTTATACAGGTAACAAACTGAGATTAGGAGCACTCCCTTTAAGAGTGTGCTCCTAATCTCAGCTCGTTACCTGTATTAAAGACACCTGGGAGCCAGAAATCTTTCTGATTGAGAGGGGGTGAAATACTTAGTTCATTAAAATGCAAATCAATTTATAACATTTTTGACATGCGTTTTTCTGGATTTTTTTGTTGTTATTCTGTCTCTCACTGTTCAAATAAACCTACCATTAAAATTATAGACTGATCATTTCTTTGAAGTAGGCAAACGTACAAAATCAGCAGGAGATCAAATACTTTTTTCCCTCACTGTATACACTAGGTGGTGTCAGAGGAAGGCCCAAAAAAGAGTCCAGTCACCCTAGTTATAGACCGTTATCTCTGCTTCCGCACGGCAAGTGGTACCAGAGCCCCAAGTCCAGGTCCAAAAGGCTCCTTAACAGCTTCTAGCCCCAAGCTACAGTGGGGGAAAAAAGTATTTAGTCAGCCACCAATTGTGCAAGTTCTCCCACTTAAAAAGATGAGAGAGGCCTGTAATTTTCATCATAGGTACACGTCAACTATGACAGACGAAATGAGGGAAAAAAAATCCAGAAAATCACATTGTAGGATTTTTTATGAATTTATTTGCAAATTATGGTGGAAAGTAAGTATTTGGTCAATAACAAAAGTTTCTCAATACTTTGTTATATACCCTTTGTTGGCAATGACACAGGTCAAACGTTTTCTGTAAGTCTTCACAAGGTTTTCACACACTGTTGCTGGTATTTTGGCCCATTCCTCCATGCAGATCTCCTCTAGAACAGTGATGTTTTGGGGCTGTCGCTGGGCAACACAGACTTTCAACTCCCTCCAAAGATTTTCTATGGGGTTGAGATCTGGAGACTGGCTAGGCCACTCCAGGACCTTGGATGCAACTCAGCATTCTTTGTCCTCCAAACACGACGAGTTGAGTTTTTACCAAAAGGTTATATTTTGGTTTCATCTGACCATATGACATACTCCCAATCCTCTTCTGGATCATCCAAATGCACTCTAGCAAACTTCAGACGGGCCTGGACATGAACTGGCTTAAGCAGGGGGACACGTCTGGCACTGCAGGATTTGAGTCCCTGGCGGCGTAGTGTGTTACTGATGGTAGGCTTTGTTACTTTGGTCCCAGCTCTCTGCAGGTCATTCACTAGGTCCCCCCGTGTGGTTCTGGGATTTTTGCTCAACGTTCTTGTGATCATTTTGACCCCACAGGGTGAGATCTTGCGTGGAGCCCCAGATCGAGGGAGATTATCAGTGGTCTTGTATGTCTTCCATTTCCTAATAATTGGTCCCACAGTTGATTTATTCAAACCAAGCTGCTTACCTATTGCAGATGCAGTCTTCCCAGCCTGGTGCAGGTCTACAATTTTGTTTCTGGTGTCCTTTGACAGCTCTTTGTTCTTGGCCATAGTGGAGTTTGGAGTGTGACTGTTTGAGGTTGTGGACAGGTGTATTTTATACTGATAACAAGTTCAAACAGGTGCCATTAATACAGGTAACGAGTGGAGGACAGAGGAGCCTCTTAAAGAAGAAGTTACAGGTCTGTGAGAGCCAGAAATCTTGCTTGTTTGTAGGTGACCAAATACTTATTTTCCACCATAATTTGCAAATAATTTCATTAAAAATCCTACAATGTGATTTTCTGGAAAAATAAATTCTCAATCTGTCTGTCATAGTTGACGTTTACATATGATGAAAATTACAGGCCTCTCTCATCTTTTTAAGTGGGAGAACTTGCACAATTGGTGGCTGACTAAATACTTTTTTCCCCACTGTATAAGACTGCTGAACAATTAATCAAATGGCCACCTGGACTATTTACATTGACCCCCCCCCCCCCCCCCCCCCCCCAACCTACATGTACAAATTACCTTGACTAACCTGTACACCCGCACATTGACTCGGTACCGGTACCCCCTGTATATAGCCTGGTTGTTGTTATGTAATTTTTTTGTGTTACTTTTATTTTTATTTTTTACTTAATTTATTTAGTAAATATTTTCTTAACTCTAATTCTTCAACTGCATTGTTGGTTAAGGGCTTGTAAGTAAGCATTTCACGGTAAGGTCTACACCTGTTGTATTCGGCATATATGACAAATACAATTTGATTTGATTTGATGTTCTCTAGCACTGTACACCTCTACGCACAACAGACCTCCTATGGGTCATCTGGAGTATTGTAACTGTTACGATTTCCCTGCCGTTGACTCTTAACACACCATCTCATTCTCACAGCCCTCCCTCAGGGACAAACTCTTTAACTTTGTAACTCCTGCAGTAGGCTCCCCTCCCCTCTGTAGCCTAGCAGGCTAGGCAATGGGTCGTAAACTGGCCTCTCACACCTCTGGCCCTAGCCAAACCGTTTGGTTGCTAGGGGTCATGGTTGCCAGGGGCCTTATCACACTGTGGGATCAGCCAATCACAGGCAGTCATCTTGGGTCCCAGATCCCAAATTCCTGCCTCACCCTTCTCCTTCAAGCAGCCACAGAAAGAGCAGCAATCTCATCTCTGTCCTTAACAACAACAGCTGGACTCATTAATATTTCTTTGGACATGTGAGACGGTGTGTGTGCACGAGGTGAGTTATGGGACATGTTTACATTGTTCTTAATAGTTAGATATTGTTGCATTATGTATGCTGCCTCTGTACAGCTTCTTACCTGTAAACATGTTCAGGGATTATATGCCATTTATACATTCCTGTATTACTGTTATTACAGATCTTGTGAAATCGTATGTTCAGTATATTCATTGCCTTTAATTTCCTTCTACAGAAACACTACCTTTCCCACTTTCCATCCCCATGTACATCTCCAGGTCAGAGACCAGTAAACACGTAAAGCCGGGTTTCTCTTTTTTAGCAAATGTTGAATGTCCTCGTCAAAATTCTATTTGTTTTCTTTCAAAGATGTAGGGTACACTTGTATCAAAGAAGACACAGGGGGTTGTGTGTGGCTGTCCATGTGGGTGTTTGAGTGAGAAAGACACAAAGGAGAACCTATTAGTAAAAAAGCAGAGCCCCCTTCATTATCGACTCTGAAGTCAGGAGGTTTTCTAGTTAGGTGTCAAAAGGAGGTCGTCTAGCACGAGCCTCATAGGAGCAGCAGCCTATATCCTGTTTCTGTAGCGTGAGGCGGCTTGATGTACAGTACACCCCCTGGACAGGATTCTAGTCTATCACAGGGCGTTATCCCCAACCTATCTCCATAATGCTGAGTGCATAACGCTGATGTTGATGTGGAATGACGCTGGAGGGAATAGCGGCCATTATACGGGCACCTGACCAATTGTGTTATTTTGTGGGGGTCTTTGCACTGATCTTAACTTTTTTTGTACATGATGTTTCCACCATTGTTTCCTATGATGTAAAGAGCTTCTGGACATCAGAACAGCTATCACTAATCTCAATATGGATGAGGACTTCTACTTCAATGAGTCAGAGGCGAAACCATATTGCTTATCCAGGACCAGGCCCAAATCCCGACACCTGAAGAAGGAGGAGGCGACCCAAATATAGAGGCTGGCGTGCGGGATGCCTGGAGAGTGGATAAACCGCCTTTACCCTCCATTTACTGGAGAATAAACTGGATGAGCTTCGTTCGAGACTAGCATATCAACGTGATCTGAAGAACTTTAATATCCTATGTTTCTCAGAGTCGTGACTGAACAAGGACATGGTAAATAAAAATCAAGCAGTTTTTTCTATACATCGACAGGACAGAACAGTGCTGAAAGAGAGCAAACCAGCTCTATGTATTTTACTGGTTTGTAAAGGCAGTCCAAGAGTTGACACACACAGTAACTTTATTTAAACACACTGGAGATGATGGACATGGGGATGTACATGGGAATGAAAAGTGGTAAAGGTAGTGGAATGGAAGTGGTTCTGAAACAGGAGAAACAGAGGTAAAGTATTCACTGTACACAATACTATCTCATAGCACAAGTAGAGCAATAAGGCTATTAACAAGGGAAGGACTGTATGAAAATGTATATGCTACCTACACATTTCAATATAGCTATACACAAAGGCTGCATACAACAACATTAACAACTAACTATGATGAACAATTTACAAATATCATATAACTCACTTTGTGCATGCACACCATCCCACAAGCCCAGAAATATGTTATTGAGTCCAGTTGTTGATGGGCAGAGACAGAGATGTTGCTCTCTGCCGCTGCTTGAGGGAGACTGCAAGTGTTGTGTGACCTGTATAGTCAAGAGGATGGGCCTCCTAGTAACCTCCCCAGCAACCTATCAGGTTACAGGTCAAATAGGTCAGAGAGAGTTTTAGAGGCATGTTTATGATACCCCCTAGACTCTCAGGCTAAGGTCGTGGGGGAAGGGGAGTGGAGTGTGCAGCTCAGGTTTGTGAGCTACTGATAACAGTCACCAGCATGGGAATTCGTAACAGGTGGAGTTGGGGAAGCTCAGGGGAGGGGCTGTGTGTCTCTTTGTAAACAACGGCTGGTGGGCGATCTCTAATATTAAAGAAGTATCAAGTTTCTGCTCGCCTGAGTTAGAAAACCCCATAATAAGCAGTAGACCATGCTATTTACCACTAGAGCCATTTGGCAAATATGACCATAACTGTATCCCCCTGATTCCTGTCTACAAGCAAAAACTCAAACAGGAAGTACCAGTGACACGCTCAATACGGAAGTGGTCAGATGAAGCGGATGCTAAGCTACAGGACTGTTTCGCTAAATACCTTCTATGTCACTTCGAGGCAAGCAACACTGAACCATGCATGAGAGCATCAGCTGTTCCGGATGACTGTGTGATCATGCTCTCCGTAGCCGATGTGAGTATGTCCTTTAAACAGGATAACATTCACAAGGCCGCAGGTCCAGACGGATTACCACAACGTGTACTCAGAGCATGTGCTGACCAGCAGGTGTCTTCACTGACATTTTCAACCTCTCCCTGACCTAGTCTGTAATACCTACATTTTCAAGCAGACCACCATAGTCCCTGTGCCCAAGAATGCCAAGGTAACCTTCCTAAATAACTATCGCCCCGTGGCACTCACATCTGTAGCCATGAAATTCTTTGAAAGGCTGGTCATGGCTCACATCAACATCATCATCCCAGACACCTCGCCCCAACAGGTCCACAGATGACACAATCTATATTGCACTCCACACTGCCCTTTCCCACCTTGATAAAAGGAACACCTACGTGAGACTACTGTTCATTGACTACAGCTCAGCGTTCAACACCATAGCGCCTCCAAACTCATCACTAAGCTAAGGAGCCTGGGATTAAACACCTCCCTCGATCCTGGACTTGCTGATTGCCTGCCCCCAGGTGGTGAGGGCAGGCAACAACACATCCGACACGCTGACCCTCAACACGGTCCCCTCAGAGGTGCTTGCTCAGTCCCCTCCTGTACTCCCTGTTCACCCATGCCTGCGTGGCTGCGCATGACTCCAAGACCATCATTAAGTTTGCCAATTAAACAACAGTTGTAGACCTTATCACCGACGACAATGAGACATTCTCCAGGGAGGTCAGAGCCTTGGCAGAGTGGTGCCGGGACAACAACCTCTCCCTCAACATCAACAAGACAAAGAAGCTGCTTGTGGACTAGAGGAAATGGAGTGCAGAGCACGCCCCCATCCACATCGACGACGCTGTAGTGGAGCAGGTCGAGAGCTTCAAGTTCCTTGTGTCCACATCACTAAGGAATTATCATGGTCCACACACACCAACAGTAATGAAGAGGGCACGACAACGCCTCTTCTCTTCAGGAGGCTGAAAAGATTAGGCATGGGCCCTCAGATCCTCAAAAAGTTATACAGCTGCACCATTGAGTGCATCTTGACTGGCTACATCACTGCTTGGTAAGGCAACTTTTTGGCATCCTACCGCAAGGCACTACAGAGGGTTGTGCGTACTGCGCAGTACATCACTGGGGCAAAGCTCCCTGCCATCCAGGGCCTCTGTACCAGGTGGTGTCAGAGGAAGGCCCTATACATTGTCAAGGACCCCACAACCCAAGACATAGACCATTCTCTCTGATATAGCATGACAAGCGGTACCGATGCACCAAGTCTGGAACCAATAGGACCCTGAACAGCTTCTACCCCTAACCCATAAACTGCTAAAGTTACTTAAATAGTTAACCAATAGCTACCCAGACTATCCTCTTGACCCTTTTGGCACTAACTATTTTGACTCATCACATACACTGCTGTTACTGTTTATTATCTATCCTGTTGCCTACTCACTTTGTCCCTACCTATACGTACATATCTACCTCAATTACCTCGTACCCCTGACCATCGACTCAGTACTGGTACCCCATGTATAGCCAAATTATCGTTACTATATAGTGTATTGTGTATTTATTCCTCGTGTTATATATATATATATATATATATATATATATATATATATATATATATATGTACATATATACAGTGGGGGGAACAAGTATTTGATACACTGCCGATTTTGCAGGTTTTCCTACTTACAAAGCATGTAGAGGTCTGTAATTTTTATCACAGGTACACAAAAATCCAGAAAATCACATTGTATGATTTTTAAGTAATTACTTTGCTTTTTATTGCATGAAATAAGTATTTGATACATCAGAAAAGCAGAACTTAATATTTGGTACAGAAACCTTTGTTTGCAATTACAGAGATCATTTCCTTTAGGTCTTGACCAGGTTTGCATACACTGCAGCAGGGATTTTGGCCCACTCCTCCATACAGACCTTCTCCAGATCCTTCCGGTTTCGGGGCTGTTGCTGGGCAATACGGACTTTCAGCTCCCTCCAAAGATTTTCTATTGGGTTCAGGTCTGGAGACTGGCTAGGCCACTCCAGGACCTTGAGATGCTTCTTACGGAGCCACTCCTTAGTTGCCCTGGCTGTGTGTTTCGGGTCGTTGTCATGCTGGAAGACCCAGCCACGACCCATCTTCAATGCTCTTACTGAGGGAAGGAGGTTGTTGGCCAAGATCTCGCGATACATGGCCCCTTCCATCCTCCCCTCAATACGGTGCAGTCGACCTGTCCCCTTTGCAGAAAAGCATCCCCAAAGAATGATTTTTCCACCTCCATGCTTCACGGTTGGGATGGTGTTCTTGGGGTTGTACTCATCCTTCTTCTTCCTCCAAACACGGCGAGTGGAGTTTAGACCAAAAAGCTATATTTTTGTCTCATCAGACCACATTACCTTCTCCCATTCCTCCTCTGGATCATCCAGATGGTCATTGGCAAACTTCAGACAGGCCTGGACATGCGCTGGCTTGAGCAGGGGGACCTTCCGTGCTCTGCAGGATTTTAATCCATGACGGCGTAGTGTGTTACTAATGGTTTTCTTTGAGACTGTGGTCCCAGCTCTCTTCAGGTCATTGACCAGGTCCTGCCGTGTAGTTCTGGGTTGATCCCTCACCTTCCTCATGATCAATGATGCCCCACGAGGTGAGATCTTGCATGGAGCCCCAGACCGAGGGTGATTGACCGTCATCTTGAACTTCTTCCATTTTCTAATAATTGCGCCAACAGTTGTTTCCTTCTCACCAAGCTGTGGCTGCAGAGGACACACTGCTGGTCGGTGCTGGGGAGGGTCTCCTAGGAATCGAGGCAGTAGGCAGCGCACTGATGAGTCATTCCAGGTGAGTAGGCACCCAACTCACCCCTAGCTCTCTGTTGCGCATATGTGTATTAAAGTGGTGTTTCCCAAGGTTTCTCCTCATTCCCAGCATAAGGCGCTAGTAGATTCAGGCGCAACTGGGAATTTTATCGATCGCCAGTTCACCTATAAGTTAGGGATTCCTATTGTACCAGTTGATGTGCTCTTCCCCATCCATGCCCTAGATAGCCGCCCTTTGGGGCAGGATTGATTAGGGAAGTCACAGCGCCTCTCAGGATGAAAACGCAGGAGGGTCATGAGGAGATAATTTGTTTGTATTTGATTGATTCTCCTGCGTTTCCCGTGGTGTTGGGGCTTCCCTGGTTAACATCTCATGACCCCAACATTTCATGGCAATAGAGGGCTCTCAAGGGATGGTCTGATCAGTGTTTCGGGCGGTGTGTATGTGTTTCCGTAGGGGCAACGACGGTGGAAAGTCCGAACCAAGTTCCCACCATGCACATTCCACCTGAATATGCCGATTTGGCACTCGCCTTCTGTAAAAAGAAGGCGACTCAATTACCACCTCATCGACAGGGGGATTGTGCGATAGACCTCCAAGTAGGCGCTGCGCTTCCTCGTAGTCATGTGTATCCTCTGTCTCAGGAGGAGACGGTGGCTATGGAGACATATGTCACCGAATCTCTGAGACAGGGATACATATGGCCGTCCACTTCCCCTGCGTCATCGAGTTTCTTTTTTGTGAAGAAGAAGGATGGGGGTTTACGCCCGTGTATTGATTACCGTGGTCTCAATCAGATCACAATCAAATACAGCTATCCTCTCCCTCTGATTGCTAGTATGACGGAGTCATTACACGGGGCGCGATTCTTCACAAAATTGGATCTCAGGAGCACGTACAACCTGGTGCGCATTAGGGAGGGAGATGAGTGGAAGACAGCATTCAGTACCACCTCGGGTCACTATAAGTACCTCGTCATGCCATACGGTTTAATGAACGCTCCTTCAGTCTTCCAATCGTTTGTGGATGAGATTTTCCGGAACTTGCATGGACAGGGTGTAGTGGTGTATATTGATGGCATTCTAATATACTCCGCTACGCGAGCCGAGCATGTGTCCCTGGTTCGACGGGTGCTTGGTAGACTGTTGGAGCATGACCTGTATGTGAAGGCGGAGAAATGTCTGTTCTTCCAGGAGTCCATCTCCTTCCTGGGACACCGGTTGTCCGCGTCAGGGGTGGAGATGGAGATTGACCGCGTTTCTGCCATGCGTAATTGGCAGACTCCCACCACGGTGAAGGAAGTGCAGCGGTTCTTGGGTTTTGCCAATTACTGCCGGAGGTTTATCCGGGGCATTGGACAGGTAGCAGCTCTCATTACCTACCTGCTAAAGGGGGGTCCGGTGCGTCTGCTGTGGTCGGCTGAGGCGGACAGGGCTTTAAGACATCTGAAGGACCTGTTTACCTCGGCTCCGGTGCTGGCACATCCGGATCCCTCTTTGGCGTTCCAAGTTGAAGTGGATGCGTCCGAGGCTTGGATCGGTGCTTTACTGTCTCAGGGCTCGGGTACGCCCCCAAAACTCTGCCCCTGTGCTTTCTTTTCTAAGAAGCTCAGTCCGGCGGAGCGCAATTATGATGTGGGGGACAGGGAGCTGTTAGCTGTGGTTCAAGCCCTGAATGTGTGGAGGCATTGGCTTGAGGGGGCTAAACACCCTTTTCTCATTTTGACTGACCATCGTAACCTGGAGTACATCCGGGTGGCAAGGAGGCTAAACCCTCGCCAGGCAAGGGTGGCTTTGTTTTTTACCCGATTTGTATTTAAGCTCACCTATAGACCAGGGTCAAAGAACGCTAAGGCAGATGCCCTGTCCCGACTATATGATACAGAGGAGAGGTCCATTGAGCCCACTCCCATACTTCCGGAGTCTTGTCTGGTGGCACCGGTGGTTTGGGAGGTTGATGCGGACATCGAACAGGCGTTACGTACCGATCCTACTCCCCCACAGTGTCCAGAGGGTCGGAAGTACGTGCCGCTCGAGGTTCGTGATCGATTGATATATTGGCCTCACATGTCACCCTCCTCTGGTCATCCTGGTATTGGTCGGACAGTGCACTGCCTTAGTGGGAAGTACTGGTGGCCCACTTTAGCTAAGGACGTGAGGGTTTATGTTTCCTCCTGCTCGGTGTGCGCCCAGTGTAAGGCGCCTAGACACCTGCCCAGAGGGAAGTTACAACCCCTACCCGTTCCACAACGGCCGTGGTCTCACCTATCGGTGGATTTTGTCACGGACCTTCCCCCCTCCCAGGGGAACACGATGATCTTGGTCGTTCGTGATTTCGAAGGCCTGCCGTCTCATTCCTATGCCAGGTTTCCCTACAGCCCTACAAACTGCTGACGCCCTGTTTACATACGTCTTCAGGCACTACGGGGTACCTGAGGATATAGTGTTTGATCGGGGTCCCCAGTTCACCTCTAGAGTCTGGAGGGCATTTATGGAACATCTGGGGGTCTCGATTAGCCTTACCTCAGGTTTTCACCCCGAGAGTAATGGGCAGGTGGAGAGAGTGAACCAAGATGTAGGTAGGTTTCTGAGGTCCTATTGCCAGGACCGGCAGGGGGAGTGGTCGGGATATATCCCCTGGGCAGAGATAGCCCAAAACTCACTCCGCCACTCCTCCACTAACCTTACGCCTTTTCAGTGTGTGTTAGGTTATCAGCCGGCCCTGGCACCTTGGCATCAGAAACAGATCGAAGCCCCTGCGGTGGACGAGTGGTTTCGGCGCTCGGAAGAAACCTGGAACGCTGCGCATGTCCATCTGCAACGGGCTATCAGGCGGCAAAAGGCGAGCGCCGATCGCCACCGCAGTGAGGCTCCGGTGTATGCTCCGGGAGATCGGGTCTGGCTCTCGACCCGAAACCTGCCCCTTCGCCTGCCCTGCCGGAAGCTGGGTTGGCAGTTTGTGGGGCCATTTAAAGTCCTGAGGAGATTGAACGAGGTATGTTATAGGTTACAACTGCCCATTAATTACCACATTAACCCCTCGTTCCATGTGTCTCTCCTCAGGCCGGTAGTAGCTGGTCCACTCCAGGAGAATGAGGTACGAGAGGTTCCGCTGCCCCCACTGGACATCGAGGGGGCTCCGGCGTACTCAGTCCGTTCCATCTTGGATTCGAGGCATCGGATGGGAGGCCTGCAGTATCTCGTGGAGTGGGAGGGGTACGGTCTTGAGGAACGGTCTGGGTCCCTAGGAGGGACGTCCTAGATCTCTCCATGTTGAGGGATTTCCACCGGAGTCATCCGACTCGCCCTGCTCCGCGTCCTCCTGGCCGTCCCCAAGGGGGGGTTGTCAAGGGGGGGTACTGTCACGGATTCAGCCGAGGCTGCTCCTCCTCCTTGCTCGGGCAGGCTTCGGCGTTCGTCGTCCCCGGAGTACTAGCTGTTATCGATCTATGTTTCGGTGTTTGTCTTGTTTGGTCTTTATTGTTTACACCTGTTTCCTATTATGTTGCATTGTATTCCCTTTAAATACCCCTGTCTCTCATAGTTTATTGTGTGTGAATGTTTTTCGTGAGGTCGGCAAGCTGTTGTGTGCTAGTATTGTTTCCTCCCTGTTAGGAGGTATTTTGGTTTTGTACTTTCTATACTGTGTTCAGTAAAGTACGTCTGCCAGTAGCTCGGTGTCCTGCGCTTGACTTCGTTAGCGCATACACGTCAGCCTGACACTATGTAAAGTGTCATATATAAGTATCACATATAAATATGAAAGGTGCCCCGTTGTCAGACCCTACATCTATACAGTGCAGAAAGGATTGACGTTACAATGATGATCAGACATTGTGCAATCTTTTTGTTTTATGCCAACTCTGGTAAGAATTTTAATTTAGATCCTTTAAAACAATATACATATTTTTGGCTTTTAGAATCCATTTGAATTACTTTGTAGCAAGTATTTTAGATGGTTTTCAGTCTTTACCTTGATCTTTGATAAATATTGTTTGTTTGCGTTGAGAGTTTCTGCATTAACCAAGGACATTGTTCAACCAAACCCAGTGATGGTTACTCACCGTGGAGCTAGTGTGAACATCACTTGCTTTTGGCCAACTGATGTGAATACTAATGTTGCTTGGTTCAAGCAGACTTTTGGACAGAAACCCCTTCTCATGACATCGACACTTTCCAGTGGACAAGATTTTTACTTCAACAACTTTACCAAGGATTTCACTGAGACTAAACATCTGAGTGTGAAGAGAGGAGTTGACAGCTGTAACCTGACCATCTCCAAGACAAGGTCAGGGGACTCAGCTACATACTACTGTGGTGGTATGGAAGTGGGCAAAGTCAAATTTGGAGAAGGAACTGTTTTGATTGTCAAAGGTAACTTAACTTCCTTCCCTAATTTTGGATTTTAAATTTTGCACCATCAAATTAGAAATATACTTTAGAATTTGGCGCTAAATGAAAATACCAGGCCAATACAATTTACACACCATGATCTTACTCACTCTCTTTAGATTCAGGGTCCATCGGCATGTCTGTGATCCAGCAGTCTGTGTCTGAGTCAGTCCAGACAGGAGACTCTGTGACTCTGAACTGTACAATACACACTGAGACCTGTGCAGGAGAACACAGTGTCTATTGGTTCAGACATGGCTCAGGAGTATCCCATCTAGGAATCATTTACACCAATTGAGACAGGAGTGATCAGTGTGAGAACAGCCCTGAGGCTGGGTCTCCTACACAGAGCTGTGTCTACAACCTCCCCAAGAGGAACCTCAGACTCTCTGATGCTGGGACTTACTACTGTGCTGTGGCCTCATGTGGGGAGATACTGTTTGGCAACGGGACCAAGCTGAACATTGACCGTTAGTGATATTTCTGACATTTCTGAAAATGTCTAACATTCTTTCACATTGCTGTGAATAAATTGTATGCCTGGTTGAACAAAATGTCCTGAATTTTCTCTATCACTGTCTGTATTTCTACAGATGTTTGTAAGGAGGACCATGTTCTCTTGGTGTACTGTCTGGGTGTAGCGTTGGCTCTTTGTGTCATCCTCATCATTGTCCTTGGTTGTGTTTTGTATAAGATGACCAAGAAAACCTCTCTGCTGTGTAGAGGTAAGTGTTATCATTGCCACAATATATGCTTAAACTGTTGGTGCAGTATACATTACATGTTTTAGTCATGAAACTGGGTTAATTCAATGTATGATGATGATGATGATGATGATGATTCCACCATGTGTTTGTCTAAAAGGAATAGACCCTCAGTCAAGTGGTCCGGGAGTCCCCAGTTCTTATAATCAGGTATCCAGACCATACAGTGAAAAAAAAATGTTTTATGAGTTTGATGAACTGTAAACAGATCCTTCTGTCAAAATATCAGGTAATTTCCTGATGTCTTTGGAATTTGTTTTGCTATTCCTCTTAGGATCAAGAAGATGATGACACACTCACGTCGGTCCATTACGCTGCTCTGAATGTCATCCACAAGAAGCCAAAGACCCAGAGACAGAGGAGCGCCATGGAGAAAGACACTGTGTATTCTGGGGTGAGGTGCCAAAACATGGACTGAAACGTACATTTTTGCTCTCTAATAACTTGCATTGATTTTGTGTTTTCTATACTATATGTACAACTATGGCTTTTTCATTGTGCGTTACAATTACTTGTATTCTGTCAATCTCCTGTTAAAAAAAAAACTGTTGTGCATTTTAGATCCAATAAAACATTCATCTGCTTTCATATAGAGGCATTCATATTTTTCTCTGTTCTTAAATTTCACCCACTGATTCAGTTTGCAACAATCATATTAGGCTTGTGCTCAATGTAACAAAGCTCTTTTTGTTTGCATAACGCACTGTAAATATACATCTATTGACTAGTGTTTTAGTTTGTCTCAAACTCTTTTTTAGCTGGATCCTGAAAACATCTCTGTGGTGTTCTGAATGTCCTTAAACCCCCAGCAATGACCTACAGTCCTCACAACGCGCTCTCTACACACACCTCAGTGCATCTAAACCACAAACAACCATGTCACTAAGAGCACAACTCACTCTCTTCATGAGGAAAGCCTTGAAGTAAAAATAAACATCCTAGCGAATATACTTTGAACAGAATTTATATTGTTGAGACTGATTTCAGATATGTCTACACATTGTGACTGAGCAGTTTTCACAAACTATTGACAAAATGTGAAGGTATAAGTCCACCTTGCAGGACTGCAATTCATTTATCTTTCAATAGGAGCAGCAGTCTATATGGAAGTCCCTCTGACTGCTTTACAATTAGAGTTGCAGCAACTTTAAGAAGTTGTGAAAATGTTCAAATTGTTGAATCGTTGAAAACATACTTTCCTGTGATAGTTTTGTGTGTAGCCGAAATAGTTGTCAAACAAGTGCCCAACAAACACAATGTGTGGCTGTTAAGAATCTATAACAAGGTAATATAGTTATTACATGCTTATTACAAATCAATAAGATGTTATAAACCCATTTCAGCATCATAGATTCACATGCATCTAACAGGCCAGGCATTCTACATCACTAGATCATTACTGCTAACATCCAATAAGCTATTATAAAGTGTAGCTTAGTTAACAGGAAGAGCCACAGCATCACTCAAAATAGAACTGGTAGCAGAGTGATCTCTACATGACGAAGACAATGACTCATCTGTTTAAATGTAGTTTTTTATTTTTTGGAGTTCCAGGTCGTAGCTGCATAATTAACGGAAACAACCTTTTTATTCACGTCATCTCTCCTCTGTAATGTGTTGTATTCTTTTGGTTGTGTTGATAGCAAGACCCACCCCCACACAGTGAACAAGTTCACAGATACTCTGCAGTCTTCTGTAAGCCCGAGATAAGGCCATATCTATGCTTTGGTCTTCTGGCCTGCTGGCTTTGTGCACACAGGACCCTCCTACCTGCTCTCTGTGTCTCTGTGTCTCTATGTGGTTTTCAGAAGGATGTCTATGTGGTGTCACTGTTGTTCTCGCTATCTTTACTTGTTGTTCATGTTGCCCCTGACATCTTACAGCCACAGCAAAACAGTTATTTATTAAACTGACTGCAATGTACTGTATATGTAGTTATCTGAAATCAGTTACAAACCACAAAGAACTACTAATGAACCCTCTTTCAACCCTCTGAGTTAAGCATCTCATGTGTGATACAGCACCATCTATTCTAACTTGTGGTCCAGGGGGAGGGGCCATTTTGTGATGATGTCATGGGAGAACTTTCAGTACATTCTCAAACAGACATGACTTGTGAAGCACAAAGTCTACTGCAGGATGCTCTGTGAGAAGGATACCAATAGAGGAGGATCCTCCTTCTGATAGATTGCTTCCTTTTAGAACCACACTAACCACAGAGTAAAACAGACTAGATAAAGTGTGTCACATTAGCTGGTTGGCTGTGGTGTCCAATCATGTATGCACTCTCAGGTGTTACACATAGTGAATGTTTCTGTGAATGATATACAAGGAATAAGACTGACATAACATGTACTTGTTTCATTCTGTAGGTGTTTACCCCACCTATGTTCACCCTTGTACATATGTTCTATGGAAAACAGTCCTCCTATGTCATCTGGAGTACTGTAGCTAACTGTTAAATGCTGGTCCAAATAGTATTTGTTAATTTAGGTACACATGGTTAAGCATGACTGGTCCATCAATTGCAACTAAAGTAAGTGTGTGAGGAAACAAGAAATAGCTCAATAGAAATAGAAAATACTATTTTACACAGGTCTGTCCAGAGAGAATGAATGTGAGAAAATTACAAACCACAATTTCTTGCAAGACCAATCAATAGCAGCTCCTGTCTGAGTCATGGTACAATACAAGACCAATGGTTGTTTGAATGAGGCATCAACAAAAATGATGCGGTCCAGTTGAACCAATCACCTTTTACCCCATTGTTAAAGTGTAGTCTACAGTTGCGATTTTAGCATGTCAATCTTGGCGGGGTCAAACTGATGCATGGCTGCAAAGCCACAACACAACACTAAACAATACATGAATTGGACTATAACGGTGACAAACAGTGCCCACTAACTGTTAGGGCCTACGTAAAGCTGTCCAGACAGCAGAGTCAAAACAGCAGTCCCAACATCTTACCAATGTTACACCTGGCTATCAGCTGAGACTTGTCTGGCAGCGAAACAGTTCTTTCAGCCTCATTTACTGTCTTTTAAAAAAAACATAGCTGATATGGCTGACTTGCTTAAACAAGTGTGGTTTCTACTGACAATTGAGATGTACAAACTATGGCATGAGGGGACGACGAGCGGATAAGAGGCAATCCGTAATTTCGATGAAGACGTTAATGGGCGACCTTGGATGTATAACTATTATTTCAGCACTTTTGAAATGTACAGCGACAGAATTCAGAACATGGGCCAAGTCAGAACCGAAGGATAAATAAAGGGGGCATATAAGCAGACAATGAAAGCTCATACAATATTAAATTATTACATTTCTCTAAAACAGGCTATAGGCTACATGTGCACCACCAAGTCAGAACAGTAGGCTAAGTTATGAGGGGGAAAGGGACCAAATTATTAATGTGAGGCACATGGGCTACTAACAGCTTACTACACAACATAAACGTAGTATTACTTTCTTAGCTACTGTAAACATATCTCACTGGCATATTACATAATTTATGCAGCTGCATACAATACATTTTTGGACTCACCTTGCTGTGCTCATTCGAACAGGAAGATTGCGCGGCGGTCCTTGTTGCTGGCAAATGTTGTCATCTAACTTTGTCATCATAGTCTGGCATAGTCTGGCATTTGTCATCATAGCCCTGGATTTATGGTGCTTTCAATACAACTGGGAACTCAGAAAACATAAAGGTTGAATAATGACGCCAGTGATCTTCAGGTCAGAGCTCTAGAAAGAGGCCTAAGTTCCCGACTTGGAATTCCGAGTTGGATGGTCGTTCAAAACGTATTTTCCCAGTCGGAGCTAGTTTTTTTCCAAGATTTCCCAGTTCCGAGTATCCAGTTGTTTTGAAAGCGGCATAAATCATGCTGGATTAACATCATGGCCAATGTTGAATGTTTATCCTTTTAAGGTTGGAAAAGAGACCCTTAAACCCAGACTTGGACCACACATACACAACATTGTTGAATTTGCGATTTCCAACTTGTTGTGTAATGTTTATATCCAAATGGCCAATGAGCACTGATACGTTTGATCTATAATTTCTCTTCATAATTTCTCTTCATATGAAAAGGATTTGCCAGTAGATTGTCGACTTGATGATTCATGATGATGACTGCTAGCTTGCTGGCTAAGATTTTGAAAGTATGATGTTGACATGATCAGTCCAATCAAAGCTACTGTAGATATAACGTGATTTGATGTAATTTTATCAAAACACACGGCCAAGGCAACAAAGGAGTGGCTCAAGAAGAAGCACATTAAGGTCCTGGAGTGGCCTAGCCAGTCTCCAGACCTTAATCCCATAGAAAATCTGTGGAGGGAGCTGAAGGTTCGAGTTGCCAAACGTCAGCCTTGAAACCTTAATGACTTGGAGAAGATCTGCAAAGAGGAGTGGGACAAAATCCCTCCTGAGATGTGTGCAAACCTGGTGGCCAACTACAAGAAACTTCTGACCTCTGTGATTGCCAACAAGGGTTTTGCCACCAAGTACTAAGTCATGTTTTGCAGAGGGGTCAAATACTTATTTCCCTCATTAAAATGCAAATCAATTTATAACATCTTTGACATGCGTTTTTCTGGATTTATTTGTTGTTATTCTGTCTCTCACTGTTCAAATAAACCTACCATTAAAATTATAGACTGATCATGTCTTTGTCAGTGGGCAAACGTACAAAATCAGCAGGGGATCAAATACTTTTTTCCCTCACTGTAAGGGACATGTACAGTGCAGTGGCACTAATGATGTTAATTAGAGGATATTGGCTGACATAAAAAAGGGCAAGAAAATAGCTATGCTGTGTTTAAAAATGGCATTGGTAACCAAAAAAAGTCTTAAATTATTAGGCCATTCCATTGCCAAAACTAATATTTCTATTTCATGTTGGAGGCCTAAGATGAAAACCAAGAGCCAATAATGCAGGTTGTGTGCTGTGGGGGAGAACCTTACTACACTATGAACTATTTTAACCTCGGGGCTAGGCTGGGTTGGGCTCAATATCAGAGGCACTAGAGAGGGGAATATGATCCTTCACTGTTGGTCCAAACATCAAAAGAGAAATGATCTTAATAAGTTTCATTTCCCAAACAAATAAGCAGTGTATCAAGCCAATATTTAATAAGCTTGATCTAATAACTCTGACTTGATTGTCTTCTTTAAAAGTCTGTTCATGCTGCTCAAACTACTGTAAACAGACTTGCTAGACTGTAGCTTTTATTCCTGTTCAGACAGCCAATAGAGTCTCTCAGTTCAGTGTGCCCTCCTACGCTGTATAAAGGCTACATGTAAAGTTTCCATCATAAAAGAGGTGCCCTGTTGTCAGACCCTCACACTATGACTATACAGTGCAGAAAGGATTGACATTACAATGATGATTAGACATTGGACAATGTTTTTGTTTTACGCCAACTTCGGTAAGTAAGAATTTTAAATATGGATGCTTTTTCAAATCATTTAATGCCATAGTGTTTTGAATCCATTAAAATGAATTGTAGTATGAATATGAAATGTATAATGAGATGTACTGTCTCTATAATGGGTAGAAATGATTTTTGATCCGTTTTATGTTGATCTTTTTACAGTTTGTGCATTGACTATGGACATTGTTCAACCAGACCCTGGGATTTGTACTGGGATTGGAGGTAGTGTGTCTCTCCCTTGCTTTTGTCCATCTCATATGGTGACCTATGTTGCTTGGTTCAAGCAGATTTTGGATTTTCATTTTGCACCATAAACTTTAGAATCTGGCGATAAAAAAATATAGCAGGAAAATACAATTAACACACCATGATCTTACTCTGTAACTCTCTTCAGCAGCCTGTGTCGGAGTCTGTCCAGCCAAGAGACTCTGTGATTGAACTGTACATACAGACTGAGACCGTTTCAGGAGAACATAGCATTCGAAAAGTATTCAGACCCCTTGACTTTTTGTTAAAATTTTGTTACGTTACAGCCTTTTTCTAAAGTCGATTAAATTGTTTTTTTCACACATCAATCTACACACAATACCCCATAATGACAAAGAAAAAACAGGTTTCTAGAAAGAAAAAAACTGAAACATCACGTTTAAGTATTCAGACCCTTTACTCAGTACTTTCTTGAAGCACCTTTGGCAGCGATTACAGCCTTGAGTCTTCTTGGGTATGATGTTAGATCAGCTTTAAGTCCGGGCTATGGCTGGGCCACTCAAGGACCTTAAGAGACTTGTCCCGAAGCCACTCCTGCATTGTCTTGGCTGTGTGCTTAGGGTCGTTGTCCTGTTGGAAGGCAAGCCTTCACCCCAGTCTGAGGTGCTGAGCGCTCTGGAGCATCTCTCTGTACTTTGCTCCGTTCATCTTTCCCTCGATTCTGACTATTCTTCCAGTCCAAGTCGCTGAAAAACATCCCCACAGCATGATGCTGCCACCACCATGCTTCACCGTAGGGATGGTATTGGCCAGGTGATGAGCGGTGCCTGGTTTCCTCCAGACGTGATGCTTGGCATTCAGGCCAAAGAGTTCAATCTTGGTTTTATCAGACCAGAGAATCTTGTTTCTCATGGTCTGAGAGTCCTTTAGGTGCCTTTTTGCAAACTCCAAACGGGCTGTCATGTGCCTTTTACTGAGGAGTGGCTTCTGTCTGTCCACTATACCATAAAGGCCTGATTGGTGGAGTGCTGCAGAGATGGCTGTCCTTCTGGAAGGTTCTCCAAACTCCACAGAGGAACTCTGGAGCTCTGTCAGAGTGACCATCGGTTTCTTGGTCACCTCCCTGACCAAGGCCCTTCTTCCCCGGTTGCTCAGTTTGGCCGAGCGGCCAGCTCAAGGAAGAGTATTGTTGCTTCCAAACTTCTTTCATTTAAGAATGATGGAGGCCACTGTGTTCTTGGGGACCTTCAATGCTGCAGACATTTTTTGGTAGCCTTCCCCAGATCTGTGCCTTGACACAATCCTGTCTCGGAGCTCTATGGAAATGTTCTTCTGCCTCATGGCTTGGTTTTTGCTCTTACATGACAGGTGTGTTCCTTTGCAAATTCAGTCCAATCAATTGAATTTACCACAGGTGGACTCAAATCAAGTTGTAGAAACATCTCAAGGATGATCAATGGAAACAGGATGCTCCAGAGCTCAATTTCGAGTCTCATAGCAAGTAAGGTATTTCTGCAAAAATGTCTAAAAGCCTGTTTTCGCTTTGTCATTATGGTGTATTGTGTGAAGATCAATGAGAGAAAAAAATAATTGAATCTATTTTAGAATAAGGCTGTAACGTAACATATTGTGGAAAAAGGGAAGGGGTCTGAATACTTTCCTAATGCACTGTAGAGCTTCGTCACTTTATATAACTTTGAAGCGAACAACTCCAGTCTATGTGTAAAAGTGTTTGAGAATAAAAAATACAAAATCATTTAAAAGTATATTTGTTTTTTAAGTTTCAGACCTGTTGGGTGATCAGATTAAGCTTATTTTTGTCATCATTCTATCTTGCCTGACAACTGCTGTGATTCTGAGTGTGGTTGTCAACGTTATCCTCTTTGTGAGAATGAAGAGGTCACGATGTGAACACTGTGCAGGTACAGTAAAAGTCTTCATACTAATAGTAATAGTAAGAAAGGTTATAGATCATAAAGAAGGGTGAAGGCTAGCTCTCCTTTTACCACTTCCCTCTCTGGACATTGTTTTCATTTCACAAGCCTACTGTAGTGAATAAACAGTTCATGACTTTGCTGATGTTTGCAAATGGTGTGGTAGAGGAAGTTGACTCAGCTTGTGGAAGCATCTGGAAAGCATTACTATAGGGGCCCCCTAAAACAGAGGAAGTCTGTTATGTGGCGTCCTGGGATTGGTTTATGGGGAAACCACCCATATCATGTTACAGATTATAAATACCATGGTTGAAACAAAGGACGGAGAGGAACAACATATTAGAGATTGGGTCAGTTGTTCTCCAGATGTCTGCAGGAGACTGTAAATTGGCGCTGAAATCTTTGGTATAATAAACTATTATAATCAAGGACAGTGTCAGCAGATTTCTTGTCATCACAGCATAATTAGCATGGTTATTTAGATACCACACTACTTAATTTTGAAACAGAAAATATGACATACATAGTATGTTTCAAGTGTTTTGAATGTTTTATATTTTATCTATTAGCGGGGACCCCTTCTCAGCAGAGCCAGTATGGGAAGCCTCATGTCAACACGTCAGACCAACAGGTTAGCATAATTGCTGTATCAAGAGTGAGACTGGAAAAGCGTATTAAAGCAAAAGATTACAGCATTAGATTTGACCTAGAGTCTGAATTGAGTGAGTCTGTGTTTCATCCTCATAGCTCCATAGTGACGATGATGGCCTGAACTACTCTGCCCTGAAGTTCACTGACAAGAACAGTACCAATCCCAAGAGACAGAGGAGAGAACAGAGAGAACAGAGAGAGGAAGAAACCATCTACTCTGATGTGTCACATAGACAGGATGTGGCAGTCCTCCAATCAGTATCACAGGCGGTCAGTGGCACCTTAGTTAGGGAGAACGGGCTCATAGCAATGGCTAGAACGGAATAAATTGAATGTTATTGAACACATCAAAAACATGGATACCATTCCATTCACTCCATTCCAGCCATTTTTATGAGCCGTCCTCCCCTAAGCAGCCTCCTGTGATCAGCATCATTCTATGTTAAGCCCAACCCCTCCTCTGAACTCCACTTTGAGCTTGACTGTGTCCTTTTGACCTGGCTATTTTGTACAATTCTCATTTACTGTAGGATGCCATTGCGGGGGCCTAGCTTTGCCTAATATACACTACCTGTCGAAAGTTTTAGAACACCTAATCATTCAAGGGTTTTTCTTTATTTTTAATATTTTCTACATTGTAGAATAATAGTTAAGACATCAGTACTATGAAATAACACATATGGAATCATGTAGTAACCAAAAAAGTGTTACAAAAATCAAAATATGTTTTATAATTGAGATTATTCAAATAGCCACCCTTTGCCTTGATGACAGCTTTGCACACTCTTGGCATTCTCTCAACCAGCTTCATGAGGTAGTCACCTGGAATGCGTTTCAATTAACAGGTGTGCCTTCTTAAAAGTTAATTTGTGGAATTTATTTCCTTCTTAATGTGTTTGAGCCCATCAGTTGTGTTGTGACAAGGTGGGGGGGGGGGGGGGGGGGGAAACAGAAGATAGCCCTATTTGGTAAAAGACCATGTCCACATTATGTCAAGAACAGCTCAAATAAGCAAAGAGAAACGACAGTCCATAATTACTTTAAGTCATGAAGGTCAGTCAATACGGAACATTTCAAGAACTTTGAAAGTTTCTTCAAGTGCAGTCGCAAAAACCATCAAGCGCTATGATGAAACTGGCTCTCACGAGGACCACCACAGGAATGGAAGACCCAGAGTCACCTCTGCTACAGAGGATACGTTCATTAGAGTTACCAGCCTCAGAAATTGCAGCCCAAATAAATGCTTCACAGAGTTCAAGTAACAGACACATCTCAACATCAACTGTTCAGAATAAACTGTGTGAATCAGGCCTTCATGGTCGAATAGCTGCAACGAAACCACTACTAAAGGACACCAATAATAAGAAGAGACTTGATTGGGCCAAGAAACATGAGCAATGGACATAAGACCAATGGAAATGTGTCCTTTGGTATGGAGTCCAAATTTGAGATTTTTTGGTTCCAACCGCTGTGTCTTTGTGAGACGCGGTGTGGGTGAACGGATGATCTCCTCATGTGTATTTCCCACCGTAAAGCATGGAGGAGGAGGTGTTATGGTGTGGGGGTGCTTTGCTGGTGACACTGTCTGTGATTTATTTAGAATTCAAGGCACACTTAACCAGCATGGCTACCACAGCATTCTGCAGCAATACGCCATCCCATCTGGTTTGGGCTCAGTGGGACTATCATTTGTTTTTCAACAGGACAATGACCCAACACACCTCCAGGCTGTGTAAGGGCTATTTGACCAAGAAGGAGATTGATTGAGTGCTGCATCAGATGACCTGGCCTCCACAATCCCCCGACCTCTACCAAATTGAGATGGTTTGGGATGAGTCGGACCGCATAGTGAAGGAAAAGCAGCCAACAACTGCTCAGCATTTGTGGGAACTCCTTCAAGACTTTGAAAATCATTCCAGGAGAAGCTGGTTGAGAGAATGTCAAGAGTGTGCAAAGCTGTCACCAAGGCAAAGGGTGGCTATTTGAAGAATCTCAAATATAAAATATATTTTGATTTGTTTAACACTTGTTTGGTTACTACATGATTCCATATGTGTAATTTCATAGTTTTGATGTCTTCACTATTACTCTACAATGTAGAAAATAGTAAAAATAAAGAAAAACCCTTGAATGAGTAGGTGTTCTAAAACTTTTCACCGGTAGTCTACATGTACAATAACTCAGGTGCAGAGCATAATTTTACCCCAAAGTTTGAAAGCTGATACTAGGATGGTTTCAGAAGTCTCAAATCGTCACCAATAGTGGCTGAGGTTCACTGACTGTATATATTTGTTTTTGTAGAAGTGTACAACAAAATGTATATTATGATTTTGCAAATGTCTGAACTCGTCCTATTGATGATAATATGTGTAACATGGAACTCTGTAACCTGCCCTTATGCTTGTGTTATATTTCAATAAACATGTTTTTAATTCCTACATATTAATGGCTTGCCCAATTCTTACCACTTATTTGCACCAGGTATCAAATGATCACATCTTTATTTTGTCAAAAAGGTGCGAACCTCACCAGAGTTCACTTCCTCCTGAAAGCTTGAACTGCCCTCTACAGACATGAAGTGAGAAATACAATGTAAACCCCCTGTGTATGTCAAAGAGGACATATGTACCAGTAGTCTCAGCCACCGACCCAAATGATGAAAAAATACAAACCAGTAACTCTGACTTTACATCATTTGAAGGGCTGCTCTAACTATGGTATGCCACAGGACACATGTTAGATTGTATAATAATAATAATAATATGCCATTTAGCAGACGCTTTTATCCAAAGCGACTTACAGTCATGCGTGCATACATTTTTGTGTATGGGTGGTCCCGGGGATAGAACCCACTACCTTGGCGTTACAAGCGCCGTGCTCTACCATCTGAGCTACAGAGGTAGTTTTTATCAGTTGCTTCATGCCTGTTCAGACAGCCAATAAAATCACTTTGTTCAGAGTTTCCGCCTACTTCATAATGATTACCCGATGTCATCATATAAAAGGTGCCCCGATGTCAGACCCACACACTATACAGTGCAGAAAGAACATTAAAATGATGATTATATATTGGACAATCTTTTTGTTTTGCTCCAATTTGGGTAAGTAAGAAATATTCATGTGGATCCTTTTACTTTTTATGTCATAGTCTTTTTTAATCCATTTTAATGACTATGTAGTCTGAATAATGATAATAATGTATCATTCTGTACTATACCTTTGTCTTTGATTTAGTTAGTTTGTTTGCTTCCCAGGATGTGCACTTAACAAGGATGTAATCCAACCAGACCCTGTGATGGTTACACACCTTGGACAAAGTGTATCTCTCACTTGCTTTTGTCGATCTCAATTTATCGGTATCTCTTGGTTCAAGCAAACTGTTGGACAGAAGCCTCTTCTCATGGCATCATCATATTACCGCCATCCAACTGCTTTTTATTACAACAATTTTACCAAGGACTTTAATGAGACTAAACATCTGAGTGTGAAGAGAGGAGTTGACAGCTGTAACCTGACCATCTCCATGACAGAGTCAGGGGACTCAGCTACATACTACTGTGGTGCTATGGAAGTGGGCGAATTCAAATTTGGAGAAGGAACTATTTTAATTGTCAAAGGTAACTTAAATTACTTTTTAACATGTTGGTACTGAAGTGTGTTCATATAATTGTAAATTAATGAATTTGGAGGAAAATAGAATGTACACACCATGATCTTACTCACTCTCTTCAGATTCAGGGTCCAACAGCATGTCTGTTCTCCAGCAGCCTGTGTCTGAGTCAGTCCAGCCAGGAGACTCTGTGACTCTGAACTGTACAATACACACTGAGACCTGTGCAGGAGAACACAGTGTCTATTGGTTCAGACATGGCTCAGGAGAATCCCATCCAGGAACAATTTACAACAATGGAGACAGGAGTGATCAGTGTGAGAAGAACCCTGAGGCTGGGTCTCCTACACAGAGCTGTGTCTACAACCTCCCCAAGAGGAACCTCAGCCTCTCTGATGCTGGGACTTACTACTGTGCTGTGGCCTCATGTGGGGAGATACTGTTTGGAAACGGGACCAAGCTGGACATCGAAGGTAAACTGTGCTAAACCAAAATACAGCACTAATGTTCTCTAAAATGTTTAGAAATATCATATGTAAATCTATCACTTTCAATTGATAGTAGATTTCAAATATAACTTTTATAGCTAACTTAATTGCCAAAAGCACTGAGCTACAAAGAATAATATAAAATAATCTAAGTTTCAGACCTGTTGGGTGATCAGAGAAATCATATTTTCCTCATCATTCTATCTTGCCTGACAACTGCTGTGATTCTGAGTGTGGTTGTCAACGTTATCCTCTGTGTGAGAATGAAGAGGTCACGATGTGAACACTGTGCAGGTACAGTAAAAGTCTTCATGCTAAAAGTAATAGTAATAATAGTTATAGATCATAAAGAAGGGTGAAGGCTAGCTCTCCTTTTACCACTTTCCTCTCTGGACATTGTTTTAATTTCACAAGCCTACTTCATTTTGAAGCAGAAAATATGACATTCACAGCAGTATGCCTTTTTATTAGTAAACAAGAAAAGGTTTCAAGTATATTGAATGTTTTATCATTGATCTTTTAGCGAGGACCCCTTCTCAGCAGAGCCAGTATTGGAAGCTTAATGCCAACACGTCAGACCAACAGGTTAGCAAAATTGCTGTATCAAGAGTGAGACTGGATAAGAGTATTAAAGCTAAATATTACAGCATTATATTTGACCCAGAGTCTGAATTGAGTGAGTCTGTGTTTCATCCTCATAGCTCCACGGTGACGATGATGGCCTGAACTATACCGCCCTGAAGTTCACTGACAAGAAGAGTACCAATCCCAGGAGACAGAGGAGAGAACAGAGAGAACAGAGAGAGGAAGATACCATCTACTCTGGTGTGAGTCATCAAGACAGGATGTGACAGTCCTCCAATCAGCATAATTTTAAGTTTAGCCCTACTGACCTCCACTTTGAGCTTGACTGTGTCCGTGTGACTTGGCTATTTTGTACATTCCTCATTTGCTGTAAAATGTAATGGTCGGGCCTAGCTGAAGAGACTGTCACTGCATTGGCCTATTCTCTTAATATACATGTAGAATTATTCAGATGCAGAGCATAATTGTCCAGCAAGTGTGAAAGCTGATACTAGGATGGTTTCAGAAGTCTCAAATCCTCAGCAATAGTGGCTGAGGTTGACTGACTGGATACATTTGCTTTTGTAAATAGAAGTGTAGCACAAATTGTCACACCCTGGTTCTGGGACTCATTATTTTGAGCCAGGGTGTGTGCAGTCTATGTGTGTATGTTCTATGTTGGGTGTCTAGGTTGTTGTTTTCTATGTTTGGTCAATGACTCCCAATCGGAGGTAACGAGTGTCAGCTGTCGGCTCGTTATCTCTGATTGGGAGCCATATTTATACTGTGTGTTTTCACCTTGGGGTTGTGGGTTTTTGTTCCGTTTCAGTATTAGTCACTGTTGGACTTCACTATCGTCTTTTGTTTTGTATTTACGTGCTTTATCAATTAAAGTCATCATGTTCACTCAACGCGCTGCGTATTGGTCTGCTCCTGTTTTAGACAATCGTGACAGAAAAACCCACCACAAAAGGACCAAGCAGCGTGTCCAGGAGCAAAGAGACTGGACATGGGAGGAGGCGCCTGGTAAGGAGATCGAGAGGCTGGCGATGGCCCAGGTGGGCAAATCGTGGTCCTGGGAGGACATGCTCGGGGGCAAGGGACCTTGGGGGAAGATCAAGGCCCTGGCGAGAGAGGAGCAACGGCGTCAGCAGGTTCATCGTCGGAAGGACGAGAGGCAACCCCAAAAAATTTTTTTGGGGGGGGCACATGGCTTGGGAGGCTGGGCAGCAGGAGGCTGCCACAGGGAGACGTGGAGAGAAGGCTACCGGATTACGGGAGCCATTGGCGAGTAGAGGGAGGGAAGTTGTTGTGGCACGGCGTGAGAGACTGATGTGTGTTACCAGTCCGGTCCGGCCCGTTCCTGAGCCCCGGTTAAGGCCAGTGGTGTGTGTTCCCAGTACGGACCGGCCTGTTTCTACTCCACGCATCAAGCCCACGGTGTGCGTCGCCAGCCCAGCCCGGCCTGTTCCTGCGCCACGTACGAAGCCTACGGTGTGCGTCGCCAGCCCAGCCCGGCCTGTCCCTGCGCCACGTACGAAGCCTACGGTGTGCGTCGCCAGCCCAGCCCGGCCTGTTCCTGCGCCACGTACGAAGCCTACGGTGTGCGTCGCCAGCCCAGCCCGGCCTGTTCCTGCTCCACGCACAAAACCTACGGTGTGCGTCGTCAGCCCAGCCCGGCCTGTTCCTGCTCCACGCACAGAGCCTACGGTGTGCGTCGTCAGCCCAGCCCGGCCTGTTCCTGCGCCACCTACGAAGCCTACGGTGTGCGTCGCCAGCCCAGCCCGGCCTGTCCCTGCGCCACGTACGAAGCCTACGGTGTGCGTCGCCAGCCCAGCCCGGCCTGTTCCTGCGCCACGTACGAAGCCTACGGTGTGCGTCGCCAGCCCAGCCCGGCCTGTTCCTGCTCCACGCACAAAACCTACGGTGTGCGTCGTCAGCCCAGCCCGGCCTGTTCCTGCTCCACGCACAGAGCCTACGGTGTGCGTCGTCAGCCCGGCCTGTTCCTGCGCCACGTACGAAGCCTACGGTGTGCGTCGCCAGCCCAGCCCGGCCTGTCCCTGCGCCACGTACGAAGCCTACGGTGTGCGTCGCCAGCCCAGCCCGGCCTGTTCCTGCGCCACGTACGAAGCCTACGGTGTGCGTCGCCAGCCCAGCCCGGCCTGTTCCTGCGCCACGTACGAAGCCTACGGTGTGCGTCGCCAGCCCTGCCCGGCCTGTTCCTGCTCCACGCACCAAACCTACGGTGTGCGTCGCCAGCCCAGCCCGGCCTGTTCCTGCTCCACGCACAAGACCTACGGTGTGCGTCGCCAGCCCAGCCCGGCCTGTTCCTGCTCCACGCACAAAACCTACGGTGTGCGTCGCCAGCCCAGCCCGGCCTGTTCCTGCTCCACGCACAAAACCTACGGTGTGCGTCGTCAGCCCAGCCCGGCCTGTTCCTGCTCCACGCACAGAGCCTACGGTGTGCGTCGTCAGCCCAGCCCGGCCTGTTCCTGCTCCACGCACAGAGCCTACGGTGTGCGTCGCCAGCCATGAGCAGCCAGATCCGTCAGCCAGCCATGAGCAGCCAGATCCTTCAGCCAGCCATGAGCAGCCAGATCCGTCAGCCAGCCATGAGCAGCCAGATCCGTCAGCCAGCCATGAGCAGCCAGATCCGTCAGCCAGCCATGAGCAGCCAGATCCGTCAGCCAGCCATGAGCCGTCCAGCCAGGATCCGCCTGAGCCGTCCAGCCGGGATCCGCCAGAGCCGTCCAGCCGGGATCCGCCAGAGCCGTCCAGCCGGGATCCGCCAGAGCCGTCCAGCCGGGATCCGCCAGAGCCGTCCAGCCAGGATCCGCCAGAGCCGTCCAGCCGGGATCCGCCAGAGCCGTCCAGCCAGGATCCGCCAGCCAGCCGGGATCCGCCAGAGCCGTCCAGCCGGGATCCACCAGAGCCGTCCAGCCAGGATCCGCCAGCCAGCCAGGATCCGCCAGAGCCAGCCAGCCAGGATCCGCCGTTTAGTCCGGTGCTGCCCCTTAGCTCGGTGCTGCTCCTTATCCTGGTGCTGACCCTTATCCTGGTGCTGCCCCTTAGTCCGGTGCTGCCCCTTCGCTCGGTGCTGCTCCTTATCCTGGTGCTGTCCCTTAGTCCGGTGCTGCCCCTTAGTCCGGTGCTGCTTCTTAGTCCGGTGTTGCCCCTTAATCCAGTGGGGTTAGGTTGGAGGGTGGTCATTTGGAGGAGGCTACGTAAGCGGGTAGTGACTATGGTGGGGTGGTGGTCTAGGCCGGAGCCAGAACCGCCACCGAGGAGGTATGCCCGCCCAGCCCTCCCCTGTTTGGGGGTTTTGAGGCGCGGTCGCAGTCCGCGCCTTTGTATTTACAATGATTTAGCAAATGTCTGCACTCTTCCTTCTCATGATAATAGTTGTAACATGGAACTATGTAACCTGCCTTTATTCTTGTGTGATATTTCAATAAACATGTTTTTATTTCCTACATTTAATGACTTGCCCAATTCTTACCACTTATTTGCACCATGTAATACTATATTAGAAATTCTTCCACTTTGATATTAGTTTTTTGAGTAGATTGTTGACAAAAAAGATCACAATTAAATCCATTTGAATCCCACTTTGTAACACAATAAAATGTGAAGAAATCCAGTCTTGGTGTAGACTTTCTATAGGTACTGTATGTGCCACTAGTCACATCAACTGACGCAAACGATTAATCAATACAAACCAGTAACTCTGACTTTACACCCTTTGAAGATAAATAGCACACCTTTTTGGTAGAATAAGCATTTTATGCATAATTGATTCATAGATGAATACAGACTGAATCTGTATGTAAGGTGGGAATCTATTGGTTCAGACATGGCTCAGGAGAATCCCATCCAGGAATTATTTACACTCGTGGAGACAGGAGTGATCAGTGTGAGAAGAGCCCTGAGGCTGGGTCTCCTACACAGAGCTGTGTCTACAACCTCCCCAAGAGGAACCTCAGCCTCTCTGATGCTGGGACTTACTACTGTGCTGTGACCTCATGTGGGGAGATATTATTTGGCAACTGGACCAAGCTGGACATTGTCTGTAAGTTATATTTTTGACATTTCTGAAAATGTCTAAAATACTTTCACATTGTTGTGAATAAATTGTATGTCTGGTTGAATTTTTTTTCCTGAATTTCCTCTATCACTGTCTGTATTTCTACAGATGGTTGTAAGGAGGACCATGTTCTCTTGGTGTACTGTCTGGGTGTAGTGTTGGCTCTTTGTGTCATCCTCATCATTGTCCTTGGTTGTGTTTTGTATAAGATGACCAAGAAAACCTCTCTGCTGTGTAGAGGTAAGTGGTATCATTGTGAACAATATACACTGCATTCGGAAAATATTCAGACCCCTTGACTTTTTCCACATATTGTTTTACTTTACAGCCTGTTTTAGTCATGAAACTGGGTTAATTCATTGTATGATGATGATGATGATGATGATGATCCCACCATGTGTTTGTCTACAGGAACACACCCTCAGTCAAGTACTTCATCAGTCCCCAGTTCTCATAACCAGGTAGACAGACCTAACACTGGTCCAACTGTTGTTGATTCAATGTATTTTATCTTCATTCAAAATATGAAAATAGGCATTTACTTAAAGGTGTTGTTTCACTATAAATATATTTGTCTAATACAAAATGTTTCGGTTTTATATTTGTTATTCCTCTCGGAATCAAGATGCTGACACACTCCAATACGCTGCTCTGAACGTCATCCACAAGAAAGTAAAGGCTGGGAGACAGAGGAGTGCCATGGAGAGAGACACTGTGTATTCTGGGGTGAGATTTCAACTTTTGCTCTTTAATAACTTGCATTGCTTTTGTGTTTTCTACACTGTATGCATAACTATGGCTTTTTCATTGTGTGGTACAATTACTTGTACTCTGTCAACCTCCTTTTAACATTGATACTGTTGTGAATTTTAGATCAAATAAAACATTCAACTGCTTTCATATAGAGGCATTTTTTTATTTGATATTTTCCTCTGTTGTTAAATTTCACCTGAAGATTCAGTATGCAACAACCATATTAAGCTTATAATCAATGTAACAAAGCTTTTTTGGGTCGCATAATGCAATGTAAATACAAATCTACTGACTGGTGTTTTAGTTTGTCTCAAACTCTTTTGTAGGTGTATCCTGACAACATCTCTGTAGTGTTATGAATGCCCTAAAAATATTAAACTAATCTCTAACCCCCAGCAATGACCTTCAGTCCGCACCACACACTACTTACACACACCTCAGTGCATCAAAACCACAAACAACCATGTCACTAAGAGCACAACTCACTCTCTAAATGAGAAAAACTTGAAGTAAAAATAAACATCCTAGTTTAATATACAGTCGTGGTCAAAAGTTTTGAGAATAACACAAGTATTGGTCTTCACAAAGTTTGCTGCTTCAGTGTTTTTAGATATTTTTGTCAGATGTTACTATGGTATACTGAAGTATAATTACAAGCATTCCATAAGTGTCGAAAGCTTTTATTGACAATTACATTACGTTTATGCAAAGAGTAAATATTTCCAGTGTTGACCCTTCTTTTTCAAGACCTCTGCAATCCACCCTGGCATGCTGTCAATTAACTTCTGGGCCACATCCTGACTGATGGCAGCCCATTCTTGCATAATCAATGTTTGGAGTTTGTCAGAATTTGTGGGTTTTTTGTTTGTCCACCCGCCTCTTGAGGATCGACCACAAGATCTCAATGGGATTAAGGTCTGGGGAGTTTCCTGGCCATGGACCCAACATTTAGATCTTTTGTTCCCCGAGCCACTTAGTTATCACTTTTGCCTTATGGCAAGGTGCTCCATCATGCTGGAAAAGGCATTGTTCGTCACCAAACTGTTCTTGGATGGTTGGAAGAAGTTGCTCTCGGAGGATGAGTTGGTATCATTCTTTATTCATGGCTGTGTTCTTAGGCAAAATAGTGAGTGAGCCCAAACCCTTGGCTGAGAAGCAACCCCACACATGAATTGTCTCAGGATGCTTTATTGTTGGCATGACACAGGACTGATGGTAGCGCTCACCTTGTCTTCTCCGAATAAGCTTTTTTCTGGATGCCCCAAACAATCGGAAAGGGGATTCATCAGAGAAAATGATTTTGCCCCAGTCCTCAGCAGTCCAATCCCTGTACCTTTTGCAGAATATCAGTCTGTCCCTGATCTTTTTCCTGGAGAGAAGTGGCTTCCTCGCTGCCCTTCTTGACACCAGGCCATCCTCCTGCCTGCTGCCATTCCTGAGCAAATTCTGCACTGGTGGTGCCCCGATCCCGCAGCTGAGTCAACTTTAGGAGACGGTCCTGGCGCTTGCTGGACTTACTTGGGTGCCCTGAAGCCTTCTTCACAACAATTGAACCTCTCTCCTTGAAGTTCTTGATGATCTGATAAATGGTTGATTTAGGTGCAAGCTTACTAGTAGCAATATCCTTGCCTGTGAAGCCCTTTTTGTGCAAAGCAATGATGACGGCACGTGTTTCCTTGCAGGTAACCATGGTTAACAGAGGAAGAACAATGATTTCAAGCGCCACCCTCCTTTTAAAGCTTCCAGTCTGTTATTCTAACTCAATCAGCATGACAGAGTGATCTCCAGACTTGTCCATGTCAACACTCTCACCTGTGTTAACGAGAGAAACAAAGGCCCAACAAAAACACTGTGTGGCTGTTAAGAATTTATAACAAGGTAATATATACATTTATTACATGCATATTAAACATCAGTATCATGTTATAAATCCATTTCAGAATCATTGCGTCACATCAATCAAACAGGCTAGGTAGTCATCATCACTGGATCATTACTACTAACATCAACTAAGTTATTATAAGTGTAGCTTAGTTACCAGGATGAGCCACACAATCACTCAAAATAAAACTTGAGGAAGGGTTATCTCTATGACGAAGACAACGACTCGTGTGTTTCAATGTAGTGTTTTAAAATTGAGTTCCAGGGAGTAGTTGAAAAAGTATGGGAGACAACCTATTTATTCATATCATCTCTCCTCTGTAATGTGTTGACCTCTTCTAGTGGTGTTGATAGCATGTCACTCACACCCAACCCCACACAGTGAACAAGTTGACAGGTACTCTGCAGTCTTCTGTAAGCCCAAGATGATGTCGTATCTACGCTTTGGTCAGGTGGGCCTGCTGGCTTTGTGCACACAGGACACTCCTACCTGCTCTCTGTGTCTCTGTGTCTCTATGTGGTTTTCAGCAGGATGTCTATGTGGTGTCACTGTTGTTCTCACTATCTTTACTTGTTGTTCATGTTGCCCCTGACAGCTTACAGCCACAGCAAAACAGTTATTAATTAAACTGACTCAAATATATATTTAGTTATCTGAAATCAGTTACAAACCACAAATGACTGCTAATGAACCCTATTTGAACCCTCTGAGTTAAGCATCTCATTTGTGATACAGCACCATCTATTCTAACTTGTGGTGCAGGGGGAGGGGCCATTTTGTGATGATGTCATGGGAGAACTTTCAGTACATTCTCAAACAGACATGACTTGTGAAGCAGAAAGACTACTGCAGAGTGCTCTGTGAGAAGGAGACCAATAGAGGAGGATCCTCCTTCTGACAGATTGCTTTCATTTAGAAACGCACTAACCAGAGAGTAAAACTGACTAGATAGGTATAGTGTGTCACTTCAGGCATGCACTCTCAGGTGATACACTTAGTGAATGTTTCTGTGAATTATATTCAAGGAATGGAAGACTGACATGTACTTGTTTCATTGTGTAGGTGTTTACCCCACTGATGTTCACCCTTGTACATACACTATATATACAAAGGTATGTGGACACCCCTTCAAATTGGTGGATTCGGCTATTTCAGCAATACCCGTTGCTGACAGGTGTATAATATCGAGCACACAGCCATGCAATCTCCATAGACAAAAATTGGCAGTAGAATTGCCTTTATGTAGAGCTCAGTATCTTTCAACGTGGCACCTTTCTAACAAGTCAGTTCGTCAAATTTCTGCACTGCTAGAGCTGCCCCGGTCAACTGTAAGTGCTGGTATTGTGAAGTGGAAAAATCTAGGAGCAACAACGGCTTAGCCGAGAAGTGGTAGGCCACACAAGCTCACAGAACGGGACCACCGAGTGCTGAAGCGCACAGCGCGTAAAAATCTTCTGTCCTCGGTTGCAACACTCCGTAAATAGTTCCAAACTGCCTCTTAAAGCAATGTCAGCACCCGACGTCAGCACAATAACTGTTTGGTTTCCATGACCGAGCAGCCGCACACAAGCCTAAGATCACCATGCGCAATGCCAAGTGTCGGCTGGAGTGGTGCAAAGCTCACCGCCATTGGACTCTAGAGCAGTGTTCTCTGGAGTGATTAATCACACTTCACTATACAGCAGTCAGACAGATGAATCTGGGTTTGGCGGATGCCAGAAAAACACTACCTGCCCCAATTCATAGTGCCAACTGTAATGTTTGGTGGAGGAGGAATTATGGTCTTGGGCTGTTATTCATGGTTCAGGCTAGGCCCCTTAGTTCCAGTGAAGAGAAATCTTACAAACACATCACACAATGACATTCTAGATGATTCTGTGCTTCCAACTTTGTGGCAACAGTTTGGGGAAGGCCCTTTCCTTTTGCATGGCAATGCCCCTGTGTACAACTTCCTAATATTGAGTTGCAACCCCCCTTTTGCCCTCAAACAGCCTCAATTCGTCTGTGTATGGACTCTACAAGGTGTTGAAAGCTTTCCACAGGGATGATGTTGACTCCAATGCTTCCCACAGTTGTGACAAGTTGGCTGGATGTCCTTTGGGTGGTGGACCATTCTTGATACACACAGGAAACTGTTGAACATGAAAAACCCAGCAGCGTTGCAATTCTTGACACAAACCGGTGGGCCTGGCACCTACTACCATACAACATTCAAAGGCACTTCAATCTATTGTCTTGCCCATTCATCCTCTGAATCACACAATCCATGTCTCAATTGTGTCAAGGCTTAAGAATCCTTCTTTAACGTGTCTCCTCACCTTCATCTACCCTGATTGAAGTGGATTTGACAAGTTTTATCAATAACGGATCATAGCTTTCACCTGATCAGTCTACGTCATGGAAAGATACATTTTATTATTTCAGATTGTGACGTTGATCCACAGATGAGAATCCTGGACCTTCTCCCCATCATCAGAACTGGAGTTCTCCTCTGCTGCCTGATCATCTTCATCATCATCTACCTCATCAGGAAATAGATCAAGCTAAGGCCAGTGTCAATAGACTAGAGATGGGTTATTGAGTAAAGTAGGAGATACTGTATCATTGCTATACATTGCAAATGATGATTTATTGAGATTGCTTAGTTGCTCGTATTGCATTAGAAAAATATTAGCCTGCGACTTCTAATTCAATTGAGCGTCATCATCCTTCCTTATGCTGTATGTGTTAATTGATTGAACTGCTCTCCTGAAATCCCTGTGTACAGAATGTGCCTTCTTTTTGCATTAATAAATATCTTCCTTCTCTTGTTTTCTGTACATACATTATGCCTGTATGAATGTGTGTGTGTAACACTCTGGCTCCGGGACTTTTGTATTTGAGCCAGGGTGTATTGTGTTTTGTTGGGTTTTGGGTGATTTTCTATGTTTGCATTTCTGTCACGTTTATTTCTAGGTTTGGTCATTGACTCCCAATCGGAGGTAACGAGTGTCAGCTGTCGGCTCGTTATCTCTGATTGGGAGCCATATTTATACTGCATGTTTTCCTGTGGGCATTGTGGGTTATTGTTTCCGTTTTCAGTCAGGTTGAC